TCTTCGGAAACACCGAGTAATTGGAGCAGCATGACTATCAAGGGCTCGCAATCTCCGAATGGCGTGTCCTTACTCAGTGATGGTGACTTTGATAGAGCATTGTTGAAGTTTGCTGCTGAGAGAGACTCCTTTTTGTCAGATCTGTCACTCAGTGCAGGCGCTTCTGTATCCAACAATCGGCCAAAACCTAGACCAAAGACGCAAAGGATTGTGGCAGAGGAGATCAATACTTTGAAATCAGGCATTGGTAGTGTTCGCAGACACATGTCCTTCAGAGACATGAACAGCATGAAAAGGCAGCCCTCCATTGCGCGTCAAGGTAAGTGTTGCAATGATCTGTGAACGCTCTGTTTAATCTAAATTTATTTTGTTTTGTGCTTCTAACTATATTATATTATTGCAGCTTCTATTCGCACTTCTAGACGACTAAGCAACTATAATTCAGTTATCCCAGTGCCTCAGCCGCTTGACGTATCTCCTAATATGCACCCGCTGAAGCGGAAGTTCGAACCTGTCCTCCTCGATAGATACCCGCCGAAAGGGGTCCCTGATGACACCAAACGGAGAGGCAGTTTCCCTGATTACGTCCCTATGTTCGCATTTCCTAACGATATCAATATTGTATCTTCGGACCAGAGACCCCGCTCGAGCTGGCATGGTTTCGCAATGACATCAGGAGATGGATCTAAACTGTATGGTGTCTGCGTTACGATTTGGATCCCTCTCAGCCACAAAGCTGCAGAGGAATTGGAGAAACGGTGTGAGGAGTGGAGACGGGACAACATGACAGATGAGGAGCGGGAGCTAGCCGCTAGCCTTGGTGAGCGTCTTGCGATGGAAAGAGCAAGGCTGTCCAGGTTACTTGCTCAACTCCCTTCGGTCCCGTCAGGCTCAGCTTCCAGAGACCAACTTGAAGATGAGATAAGTTCGGTGGAGGAGAAGATTGGGTTGATGGCCGACCTCCTTCGCCCAGTTCGACTGGGTGCTGCAACCAAAATCGACGGTCTAACCGACGGGGATACCGGGTTTTGGATACCCAGAGCATACGGGATATTAGGAAAGGATGGATCCATGACAAGTTTCTGGAAGGAATGGCTACGAGCCGTTGTCGTCCCCATGACAGATGGTGCGATCCAAAGGGTCCCTGCCAGTTCTCCTCGGGTTGGTAGGTGGCAACCGTTGGAGCGTTATATTGTCAACCTGTGCACAGAAGCCTTCAGCCCTCTATCTTCGAAAACTCAGGTTGAGCTTTCAGTGCGGGAACTACGACTTTTCGCAAGGAAAGAAGCCGATAATGAATTGCCCGGCTCTCGAAATGTATGTGAAACTGCCTCCCCTCCAGCTTGTACCGAAAGCTTTAATTAACTGAGAAGAATAGACCGACCTATATGCGCTCTTCCGGTGTCTTTCAATCTCGAACATAATTATTTTGTTTGAAGTAAGTCTGTATTTGCAGCTTTAATATACCCATCCTAAACAGCTAGCTAATGTAACAACCATTATCAGTACGTTCTTGCTGAATCTCGAATCATTCTTCTGTCATCCCATGCTGCTATGTTGCACCTTGCTAGTAAAGCTCTCGTTGATCTCCTATTCCCATTCCAGTGGACAGGTGTTTTTATCCCCATTCTCCCTGCTCGGCTTATCCAAGTCCTTGAGGCACCTTGCCCCTATATTGTGGGAATTGAACGCAGATACGAAAAGGCCGAACTTCCTTCTGATGACTTTGTGCTCGTGGACCTCGACCAGAACGAGATCGAGAGCACCGCACGACCCACTCCACTACCCCGCCATCATCGTCGAAAACTCCAGTCGCTTCTCCAACTAGCAGCGCCTCTGCATCATCGATACGGAATTCATCCTGGGCCACCGTGTTACGCAATTGAAACATATCCGTTCGACTCGTTTCCTGGAGAAAACCAATCGATATTTTCACCCAGAGCGATGTCCACTCAACTCGATAAATACGTCAGCCTTAATTCCACGGCGTTCGGACAAGACGCTACCGTCATTCCGCCTCCACCAAATTTTAATGTGTTTTTGAACGCCCGCAATGATGTGGCCCTCTCCAGGGGTCAAGGCCGATCAATGACAAGCTCAACCTCCAAAGTTTGCACTCCACCCTCCCCTAAGAACTCAGGTGGTTCTCCGACCTCGACTAAATTTTCCCCATTACCCCCAACCCCTGTATCTCGCAACGACTCGGGATTTGCTCTTCAATCCTCCTTGCGGGAGAAAAGGTCTGGCCATTTCGATGCCGTCTCCCGAAGAAGCTATTCTTTTGGAGACAGAAGGCCAGGATTACCCAGAAGACCTAGCGCTCCATTCCTCGGGCACACCTCCAATTTATCTGTCTCAACACTAAATACTGACACGGGAACTTCTGTTTATGCAGCATCCATATATGCCCAGTCCACGTTAGCTGCGTCGACTATAATGCCACAATCGTCTCAACAAGCGCTGCGAAATCCAGTGGGCAGTACTCTGGTCGAAGGGCACTGTCTACAGCTACAACCATGGGATGACAAAACTTCCTGTTCGATATGCGATGAGAAAGCAGAAGAAGGCATGTACAAATGTTCAGCTTGTGGGACAATTGTTCATACTCGTTGCGCATCCCAGATTTCATTGGTGTGTCCTGTCGCATTCTACCCTGAACAAGTTCGGGCAGCATTTGTTCGGTGCTTCGCGAGCCTGTTGTATACATATAAGAAGTTTCTCCAACCTGCATCTGGTGATAAGAAGAAGGCCGGCTTGACTTACGATTTCAACATGGATGCATTTCTCAAAAGCTTGCCTCACGAGCACGCAGAATACATGACAGTACTACAGCAGACGCAAGGTATGTTCTATGCAATTTGCTTACCACCAATATATTATATCCCTTGAAGCAAGTAGAAGCTGCTGAAATTTACAATACTAATCTCTTGTAGCCTTTAACGAGTTTATCAGTGAACGGGAGCGAGCAACCCCTTCATCCAAAGATCCCCGAATTACCCTGTTCGACGAGATTATCCTATCGAAGCGCAATCGGGGGCGGACATCAGTATTCTCGGGGCGCATGACGACAAATTTCTTATCGGACACGTCAGATCATCTCTGGTGGTCAGCAAGTGCAACTGCTCCACCCAGCAGCCGACATCAACCCACCTATCCAAGCGATTGGAAGAACATCGTTACAAGAAGTTAGCACAAACCCCTCTAACTCTCAATTTTTTCCTTGTTTGAAAGAGCATATTTTAATCGTTCTCAATAGCTCCTGCAAAACTAGATCCGAACTACATGAAAGAACCGCGCATGATCCAAGGAGAGCCTCGAATAAATAAAACCGCAAACAATGCGAGAAGAAAACCAGTCGCTACGGTTCCAAATGCGTAGCTATTCAGCTAATTGCTCACATATGGAATTCGCCTGATCAGTCCTTCTGTTTCTTATTGCTTTGAAGTTCTCCATTTGATACCACCCCTCTTTTTTGCCCTACTTTCATTTTCAGATTTGACGATATCCAAATACCCTCTTTTCCTAGTTTGCGCTTGCATTTACCCTTGGCCTTTTAGTGCTTCAGCGCATATATGACAACAATTTGCTTCCAATCTCCATGTCCATCTGTTTTCATTGGTTGGAGGATTACTGATTCTTCAAACCAGCAGTGTCTGTATTATGTGTGCTCTCATTTATTTGCTTCGGTTTTTGATTGGGGTGGTGGATCGGAAATGTTGTTTTGCTTTTAGCCCTTTTATGCACTTGGTCTTTTTGTTCTGTTATTTTGAATCCCTCTCTTGATTTCTTATGGACTGTCCTGGCCTGATGTTGGTTAATATCAGCATATCCAGATTGGCTTTACTATATCTCTCACTACTTTGTTTCCCATCCTTTTTGCTCTCTTTATTGATTTACATCTTCTAATGGATAAATCTTTTTCTTCTCCCCACTTTGCTCTCTTCCCTCAACCTTCTTCACCTCACCCAATACACGTGTGACCGGGCACTTTTGTATATACACTTTTCCTCACTTTATCCATCACTATTCTAGTGCTATTATCTTTCATGTTCCTCTCATTTTCAACATGATGTTTGTAGAAATATATATACCTCCATACGATGTATGATGTAATACACATGATGTGTATGTAACTAACTAGTTCATGAATCTTATGATTTTGTGATGAGAAATAATGAGAGAAGATTTTTTGTTTCTGAAAGAATTTGAATGACTGGCTGGTATGCATGACAGCTGCTGAATAATTAGGATTCTTCATATTTCAATACAATAATGAAAAACTCACACTGATATGAAGTATCAGTGATCATTATGTATTAATTTCCTTCAATTTTCTTGCTTTTTTATTTTCTCTTTCATTTACTATCTATTTGTATATTATATGAAAATCATGTGCAATATCATTTCCTTGTTTATACAGCCATCTATTTATCAATTCTGCAGAGAGAAAAATGAAACTACAACCACAAAAAAAAAAAAAAAAAAAAAAAGGAAGAATGAAAGAAAAATTGGGGAGTAAAGGGAAAAACTTAGCTATACAATATGAAAACAACCCCAGCTGTATTCTCCAGATAGCATGATGGCATCATTTTCCCCTCCTGGTTATTTCACCGTCCGGGAGCATATATAAAGGTCGAGCACAGCATTGAACCATGTTTGTCAACGCTGTCAATCAATGATATCGTCGGAAATGACTTGGAGAAATTGGTTCTCCGTAGGGCAAACCCCCAAATTAACCGACCCTCCCTTGAAAGACTGCCATAGACTATCATCATTTCCGGCAATTAAATAAAATGGAAATTGCGAAGCACTTGCGTGTGGTATGTAGCGACTCTAACACCAGTCATCCTCCCGAACTCTCGGAATAGGGGTATCTTTGCGGCAGAAGAGGAGCAGACTATCTTTAAATCTTCCCTTGTGATAGAAATCACTGTATGCGAGAATCGCTAGGTTTGGTAGAACCACCGGGTCCAAACGCCCAACTTGTAAATTTGATTGAGCTAGAGTGAGGAAATTTTCACCAATGGCCAGGTAAGGCGATAGTCTCCTTGAATGTGGGCTTCGTCGGAATCAGGTAAAGACCGATCACCCTCGCCAGCATCCACGCCACCATCGTTGTCGTCGTTCCCATCCTGAACATCGGTACCAGCAACCCCAGAATCAAACTCGCAACTGAGACCACGTTTTAATACACAGAATCTCCTGCTTTAGCGTCTCTTCAAACGTCAGCTTTGATGTTGACGTTTATTTCGTCCACCCTGAAACCAGAGACGCAGGGGTTTCCATCTCATGCGCGTAGAGATATGCTTCAATTGCTCCTTCTGTTGGATGCCAAATGTTTGTTAGCAATTACTTTTCTCTTAGAATATCGCACAGGCTACATGCCAAATCCGCGGGCTGAACACGGAGTCCAATTGTTTCAAGATCGCAATATGCACGGACATCGACGTGGCCAGTTCCCGGCATCAATGAAAAATCGCGCTCCTAGCTGAAATAGTCACTGGAATTGTCATGAACTAATGTATCTTTCGTGCTGCACCAATCACATAAGCGTTGCTTTATAATGGACGATCGCTCCTAGAAATGGGATGAGCGCGTTTCAAAGATATATGCCCAGTTTTTCCAGACCAGCGAAAGACATTAAAACCCTTTGAAAGAGAGGGGGTGGGGGGGGGGGGGGGGGGGGGGCCTCCGTCCTTGACTGGTTTCAGGTTTGGCAGCCCACCAAGCACTATCTCAAAAGTTTTGATTTTGATTTCCTTTTAGAATCGACAGCTGCTTGGATGAATGGTACCACAAATGTGTATGCATTGTATGAGCTTCAATGAAAGCAACTGCGAGAAATTGAAAGCTTTAGCTAGTTCCTCATAGGCCAACCGAAATGATATATGGCACAGCGATTGACTTCGAAGAGATCGAGACAGGTTAGGGAATCGGGTAGTTACTCCTTTAAGAACGTGTGATATAAACCTGTTCTACCTATTGACAAGTTCGACTTCATCCTTGAGCTGTTCCCTCATGTTCCTCCTTTTGCACAGAATAAAGCTCCAATGCCCCCAGATGCCAGAGGTTACTTCGTAGAACTCTGCTAAGAACATCGCAATCACCTTTTATGTTTATGCCCTTCCAGGAGAATCTCTTGATCCGTTGAAGCAGGGGAAGAGGGCAGAGGCCATACCCGCCTCGAATACAGGTGCCATTGGTAATAAGTGGTAGATCTTCGAGGAAAGGTTTGATGGTTTGCAATATATCCCGCTGGTCCAAACACACGGGAGGGAATGCATGTTCCTAGCTGCCAGCTGAAAGCAATTTAATAAAGACATTCCACAAAATCCAAAATATGGGCGAACATACCTGAATCTTCTTAACTTGTTCTCTTCAAGCCGTAAAAATACCTCCCGGACATTATCCTCTACTGCCTTTAAACTCTTTTTCCGGGAGGCTGATAGTTGGATACTTGCATCTACTGTGGAAGATTTTAAGGATGGGAGCACGGAACCGAAGGCCTCTCACGAGTTTAAACGGTTCCATGTTGCTAGAATGCCCAACCGAATAAAATCAGGTGTAACGGCACGAAGGCATTCGTAAAGGGCACAATCTATTTTCCGCCAGCGAAGGGAGACAACAGTGTTTGTATATCCCCGGGATTCCCGCGCGCTGAAATAGCTTCGACACTCGGGACAAGTTCGACCTCTCTCTTGAATCAGAGACCTAGCGGGAGAACCGTTAGGTGCCGATGATAATTTTTGGCTTGGAAGCAGTTGTGGACAAACCTCATTGATGGTCATTTGGAATATTTCTGGTGGGACCCTGTCCAACATAGTGGTTATAATTATACCGTGATTAACAATGCAGAGTTAAATCTTAGAAAAGGGGGAGTAAACACCAAAATATCCACCAAGAAAGACGTTAAAAATAATGACGCATACGAAGAGAGGATGGAAATACTTTTCATCATGTCATGAAGAGGAATTAATATCTTGTGCATGTTTGTCCACTGATAGTTATCAGACTCTCCTTCCAGAGTCATAATCAGAAAAAGTCATTCTTTCATTGTACAAATACAAGCGGATTCGGTAGTTATCCTCCTTCGTGAATCAAAAACTATATACGAATGTCACTTTCCACTTCAGCCATGCGATGTTCTCATTCTCAGTTTTGCGCAGACGATTTACGCGACATCATATTGAGCGCCATGACGATCCGCTCGCTCTATTCCCTCCCAACTCCCGGGCGCATCAAGAAGTCATGCATAGGAAAACGAATCATAAGAATCAAAGAATGCACAATCCCGTGGGGAATGTTATACAGACAAGGAAAATCAAAAAGGGAGATTTGCTGCGGAGTAACAGCCCGGTGGTTTCTCCGCCTCCCAAGACAGTTGCGAGATGTTTACAAGCACCGAGGACACAGCGTTTCTGATATGCGTGATGAACCATGGCAACATTCTAAAACCAATTTAAACTATGAATAAAGTTAGGTTGAGTCCGTGCTCCGGCCTAACAATGCAGAGATGTTGATTGGCTGCAGGGGAGATACTCTCAACCTTGGATGGACATTTCTTTCAAGCAACCTTGGGTAGAGTTCTTCGGATCTAGGATTCTCACCAGACGTTGAGACATGGATGAATGCCTCCGCCCATCATGTGGTGCGCAGATATTGTCCTTGTCGAGGTGGCTCGGTTTGCCTAGGATAATCCCCCCCCAACAACTCGAATCCCCCGTTTGGGGTATCAGATATCACGGTTGTGAGGTAAAGGCATTCAGGAGAGAAAATAGGTTTATCCAACTAAATGGATAGTTGGTCTCCGCATAATGGTCATTCTTTTAACTTCTGACTTCGTTAATTAAATAATTTAATTAATCAAGTAATTAATGAAAAACTAAAAATTAAAAAGTAGATACAAAAAGCAGAGCAATGGGAAAATGGCGGTAGGGGCAGCCATCCTGTAACGGTAAAATCAATCTAAAGAGCAAGTTCGTTGATGTGTAAAGATATTCAGAGGAAAAGAAACACAGAAAAGGTCTTGTCATAAGAGAAATGCAACTGGAAAATATAAAATAAGAAAAGAATTGGGGTATGAAGTGCCGAAAGGATTAGCAAACGGAACAGAACTGGGATAAAATCAAGTAAAATAAATACGTTGTACAAAAGGGGGTAAGAGCAAAAAAGACAGAAGAAGCATATAACTAAGCATGCAAACGAAAATGGAGCCAAGATGGGAGAAATTGGCGAAAATCGGAGGCCGTATACTTGACAAAGAAAACCAGTCGTCAGGTAAAGGAGGAGAACCAATGGGGAATGGTATGGGATACAAAACATGTTCATCTGGGGTAAAATAGAAAAAAAAAAAAAAAAAAAAATTCCTGGCAAAAACGGTCGATGGCTTAAAATAGGCGAAGAATAAGCTCAATTTCCAACTCATGCTAATTCGCTTTTGCCTTCCCCTTATTGCTAACATTTCTATTTAGTTCGTCTGCTCCGGTTGACAGGGCCTCATCCTCACTATCGTCGGCCCCTGGGACTTCTGCCCACCCAGAACTCCGCCGGCTTACTCGCCCAGGAGCGCCGGAGACAGAATGGTTGCCTACAACGTTGCCGATAATGCTGCCAGCTGTACTATCATTCCTCCCGTGGTGCGAGTTGTTCCCACTTCTAACACTGCCAGTATCACCAAGCTGCAGTCTGCCCGGCTGATAGCTGCTCCGTTCCCCCGAAGTAACTCCAGCATATGAGTATATACTGCCTCGTTCGGTGTTGGCTAGGCTCGGACGATTTAGAACACCCGGCGCATTGGTGATTGAAGCATTGGATGGCTCTCCGGCAGCTCCCGGATATCCCATATTGCCACTGAGAACGCTTAAGGGCAAACTTTCGCGGCTTCCGCTGAAGATTGATGAAGGAGCCAAAGCGCGAACCGAAGCATTGGTGTCCAGAGAGTTACGGCGCCGGCGTTTGGAGGAAGATGCTAACGTCAGCACAGACGCGTTATCAGTCAGGAGGTTATTTGCCGTTGCTGAGATGTAATTGGTTGGGTTAGGAGAGAGATGGGCAGGAACCGCGGTAGCAGGAGATATGGGATATTGATGACTGAATTGAAGGCCAGTTTGCTGACTAGCACTGTGAGAAACGTGATGACCGAAAAGCCCTCCATGGATCTGGTTCGACGGAGCAGTGGATTGGACAGTTGTAAGTGTTGTCGTAAGTGAACGCACAGACGGTGCTGGTGAGGAAAATGTACTACCTTCCCCACCTCCTTGCGAACCAAGTGCACCACCAGTGGTTATGGCAGTTCCGGCTTTGGAATTCGCAGCGTCTGATAAGGTAGTATCCGCATTTGTAGAGAGCGTGGGCGCAGCAGATTTTGTGCCCACTGCTGATGCATTCTGGTCCAAACCTGATTCTGACAATGACGGTACTGAGCGGGACAGTTGGCTGGGTCGCTCACTAGCAGGGGGTTCAGAGAAAGAGAGGTGGCCATTTCCCAAATTGCTGATATTACCTGACAGGGCGTATGGGTTGTTTTTGATATTGGCGCCCTTTTTGCTCTTTGAAGAGCTAGGAGAACCATTCTGCTTGTTCGAAGAGCCAGGGTGGGAGACAGAAGTGTTCTTGAGATTGGCAAGGCGCTTCATCCAATTCGAGAAAGGAAGTCGACGACCGTGTCGATCTTACAAAGGCTTTTAGTAAGCAGATATATTCAAATAGTCATCTGCAATGCAGCTGACGGGTAGAGAACAAATGGAGGGGGAGGATGAGTAAAACATACCGTGGGGTCGAGCTGTGACTTCAGTCGAAGCCATCTTTGCGAAAACTGCACCTCAGCGCACCCAAGGCCCCGTCTAAACAAACCGTGACGCCAGACAAGCGAAGAAAGAGTGGCTAAATAATAATAAAGCACTTGGCCTGAGTTGACTGGCTATGGTGGCGGTAAGTCCCGCGTCGCGGTATCGCTGAAGTCCTCTAGGAGTATTCGGCAGGGCTGGCAGGACCCGAATTGCGCCAAATAACAGATGCTCCAACGCAGGTCAAATTCAGCTATCAAATCCTTGTCCGTGAGCCGCCCCAAGAATCAATCACCTCTTGCCTAGTTATCGCGGAGTGACGTTGTATGCTTTGCGTAAACTACGGTTGTTGAAGTCATTCGACGATGCTGTAAGATGATAGCAGCCTGTCGTCATGGAAGTGACCACATCTGTCCACGTTTTACTAACGTAATTTATCGACGGGTGCTTAGCATATTGTGAAACGTTTCAATCTAATTGGCCAAAGACGCCAAAACATTTGTTCCAAGCTTCAGCCACAGCACCCAAAAGGGGATAAATTACGGATACTTTGGCTTAAATTCTTGTTTCTACATAAAAAAAAAAAAGGAAGTCTGCTTGGTCAGGTGAACACGAGGGGATGAAAACAGTCACGTGATTCGAGGTTGGCCGATGTTGCCTCAACGTCCACACTAATTCATCCAAAAATGCTCCGTCCCCCAAGGCAAGGCAATGCATACCCCGTACATGAGAAGAAGAATGAAACGTCTCGTCGATGTCAATGCCGGATCATAACTGATTTCGGCAATTTTGAACTCTTTGGAGTTGTGTTTGTAAGGCTCTATAAAACAATGGGAGACAGATGCCCGGACGAACTTGCAGCTTCCAACGCTGCTCCCAGGGCAGGTTCTATCTAGCAACGGCAGCAGAAAGCTTGCAGTCTTTGTCATATATATATATACACCTTGAGTCATTGTTGAGAGAGCCCTGCAATCGCGTCAAAGGCCTGTACGCTGTTTCTTCGGCGTATTTACTGTCTTGTTGTCATGGACGTGCAGATTCCATCCATCCAACCCCTGCCCCTGGACGTGGTCGCGCAATTGAAGTCTTCAATATCGATATCACATCTCAACGGGGTAGTTTTGGAACTTCTCAAAAATTCATTAGATGCCGGTGCGGGAACCGTATCAATCAATGTGGACTTCCGAAAGGGCGGCTGTGTGGTGGAAGACGACGGGCACGGGATAATGCCGATTGAGTTCCTCGATGGAGGCAAGCTTGCGAAACTGCATCGTATGTCGTTCATTTGATGGAGGCTTTGGACATATTTTATTTTATTTTATTTTATTTTGGCTGACTGGGATGTGTAGATACGTCGAAATTCAACAGTTTGGGTGAAGTTTATGGCCGGAAGGGCTTGTTTCTTGCTTCCCTTGTGTCGCTGGCTTTGGTGACTATCACTTCCCGTCACAAGTCTGACCCAACAACCAATACCTTGATATATCACCGCTCAAAGCCGATTTCCAGACTGACGCCTGCTCCATTACACCACGAGCTGGACTCTCGTGATCATGGGACTAGAGTTACTGTGACTGATCTATTTGGGAATCTGCCTGTTCGTGTTAAACATCGGGCGCTGTCCCTACGAACTACCCAGGATCTCGATAGGGAATGGGACGACTTGAAAAGTATTCTAACCGCTATACTTCTCGCTTTCCAGAAGCAGGTGAAGGTTGTGATGTCGGATGCGACAAAGACAAGAAAACTAGTTATTCGAGCTGGTTCTCCGAATGATGAAAGATCCTCTGGCACTCTTCAAATGAGTCGAATTCGCCCTATCCTTATGCAGGCTGGGTATCTATACCCAGGCGACTTCGATTATTGGGTCACCGCTTCCGCACGTACCTCCGGAATTGAGGTTCAAGCTGCACTATCCCTTCAACCCTCTCCCACGAAACAGGTCCAGTTTATTTCATTTGGAATAAATCCTGTTTTTTCCCAGTCGAATGCGAATGTGCTATATTGCGAGGTTAATAGCTTATTCTCTTTATCGAGCTTTGGTGTTATTGACGGCCCTCCAGCTATTACGGATGAACTAGGAGAACTTAATTTGAAAGATAATGATCAACCAGTTGAGAAGGACGGATCTAGCCGGCGAAAGCGATGTTTAGGTAAAGGTATTAACAAATGGCCAATGTTTTACATTAGAATAGACCTGCAAGGACATAGCAAAAGTGTCAGCGACGAAGATGGTTCTCTCGAATCTAGAAAGACCCTTCAATCAGTTGTGGACGTTTTGGTTACCATGATACGGCAGTTTCTGGAGGATTACCATTTTCGACCTCGATCAAGACCAAATTTCAAAAGAAACATCCGATCAAAGTCTCCTGAGAATCTGGCAGAGAGACGACTTGTTAAGCGTCCGAAGAACTCTGCACACCCATTAGCCACATCCATTGCTTCTTCTGGGGTTTCTAGAGATATGGAGGGTACGGAAGAGTTATTGAACCCTCAAATCAAGCTTCCGAACTTTACCCAATCTCCTAGTGCTCAGTCACATCCCAAGTTGAGAGATTTCGGACGTTGGTCACGGATCAAAAGCGGTCACCAAACTGGATTTGAGGATATTTGGTCTGGCTTACCCCGCGGAAAAGTCGCATCCATCGCAAATAACCCTAAAGACGGTCAACTAGGGCATGACGAAATATGCTCCCACTCGTCTCCCGCAACCCCCGCACCAGATGTTCAATACCATGGAACCCCGAGTAACCTCAGAACCGGCGAAAATTCTACGAAATCTGCTAGTCTAGTTGGCATTGGAGATCAGGGCCTACAAGATGTAGGAGCGAAAAATCAAGATGAGCAGACAGAAGAGATTATCCAGTGGACGGATCCGATTACCAAAAATTCTGTGCTAATCAACGGCAGGACGGGCCAGACTCTTCCCCCGACAAACAAAATGTCTACCGCTTTACGAGGAAAAAATGATTGGACAAAGCTAGCGTTCGCCGGTCGCCACTTGTATTCCAGAAACCTAGAGTCCCATCGGAATTTTTGGATCGATACATTTCTCAAAGACTGGGAAAATCCAACATTCCAACAGTCGGAACAGCCAGTTGTGACAAAGTTTAATACTTCAGGGCTTTCTTTCGGCGGTGCAGTCAAATCATCCCTATCGGGAACCGGAGATAGCGGGTTTATACCGTCTTCTTCTAGATTCAGTGGTCGGTTAACAAAGCAAGGTTTGCAGAGTGCCCAACTGATAGCTCAAGTGGACAACAAATTTCTATTGTTGAAACTGCCAACGTTAGGCGAACCGAGAAATGGCAATCAGCAAAATTTGGTTCTTGTGGATCAGCATGCCGCTGATGAAAGATGTCGGGTTGAGCAACTCTTCGACGATCTATTCGCCCCGTCTGCGGAATCGGATTCATTTCCAACCTGTGGAGTCAATGTGTCGACCCTATCCAAGCCAATTGTTTTCAAGGTATCGCTGCAAGAGGGTGAATTGCTCCAATCTCATTCCGACTATTTTGCAACTTGGGGTTGTTGCTATACGCTGTCGCGTGGCGAAAGAAACTATCGTACAGTTACGGTAAACAAGCTTCCTACACTTATTGCGGAGCGTTGTAGATTAGAGCCAAAACTTGTCAAAGACCTTCTTCGCGGCGAAATCTGGGACCGAAAAGACCACGGGAGAAGATGTTGTACAGCCGGCTCTCAAATGCTGTCGAAAGTCCCATCAGAGGCTGGTGATCCAAAAGAGCCACCAAAAGAGAATGTCCAGCCTGCTGCTGCCCGTCATTCTTGGCTAGAGCGCATTGGCGATTGCCCCAAGGCTATTATTGATCTCCTCAACTCACGTGCATGCAGAAGCTCTGTAATGTTCAACGACGCTTTGAGTCGGGATGAATGCGAAAACTTGGTCTCGAGACTTGCACGCTGTGCTTTTCCATTTCAGTGTGCTCATGGACGCCCTTCCATGATTCCAATCGTGAGTTTTGGTTCTATGTCACCTACGGGCGATGGATGTGCGTTAGAAACCCAGTCAGGGTTTGATTATGTTGGCCTCAACGGAGACCATAGTGATAAATCTACAGCAACCGACAACGATTTGCTCTTCATGCAAGCTTTCAAAGCGTGGAAGCCTTATATTATATGAGAGATAGATCTTTTTGATCCATTATGTTTTTCTTATATTTTGGGGCATTGGTGTTGCCTTGTATCCAGGTGCTTTTATTGGTATAATTTGTACCTTTGTTTTCATTGTTTTTGGGATATCTTCGGAATCCAAACTGGGTAATCTGTGATTAGGGTCTTATAGTTACATTCTAACTCCTGTTAAATTGTCATTACAGATATCGATAAACTGCTACAATATGCTCAGAGACATTCGGGAAATGCCAACACCTATTAGCTGGTGATATGCACTAAGCTTTTGCTTAAATCCTGAGGGGGCCTAACATCCACATGTTCAAAACCAACCCTGTCTGTGCCAAAAAGTGATATCTATTTCCTTGGGCTATATACGTCCAGCCCTGAGGTCTCCTCATCCAATTTTCTCAAAACATTTGAACCCGCTGGGCTTCAGGGAGGCGTGGATGTCAGCAATTCTTATGTCCGGTAGAAATGAAAATTGCAGAGAGGATTGAAGTATGGTGAATGAAGGATGAGATAGGAGGCACATACAAGAACATATTCGCACTTAAGATTTTGGCAACAGGGGACTTTATCGCAATCTTCCCCAACCTGTGTACAACCTCCTCCACGTGGGAAAACTCTCAAGTTCCTGAGGAAAGGAGAGCTGTAGGAATGAGTCTCTAGCCAGGGTTTTGAAAGCGCGAGCGCGTTCGGGGTATTGGCGATGAGGAGAACGAGCACAAGGTACCCAAATTTCACTTTCGTTGGAATTTTCATAGGGTTAGAAGGTGTCCAGGATTGAATGGTAATCAGCGGTGTCATTTAAGCTTTTTCACGTCCTTCGTCTACGTTCTGGAACAATTTCCAGTATAAAGCACGGAGGAGGGAACGAAAATAAACAAGGAGATTGATCTAGAGACGAAGGAATATCCCAAGACTATTTTAGTTACCCCCTTACTCGTACGAAGGTATGCGGAAGCGGGTTTTGATGAACGACGGCCCTTTATACATATGGATATACTAAGAGTGGTACAGGGATCATTCAATGGACCATCGGGCATGTGCTTACGTGCAGGGCCGGAGAGGTGGGCAAGACCCTGGTAATTGCCGTCAATTCTGGGCTTCGTACATGGCGAGGGAGGCGAGGAGATGAATAGCACGCCATTGAATCTTAGTCCGAGTTTCATAGTGATTCATATAAATTTTCCACTCTCTCCAGTGGATGCCCAGGTGGGCTTCACCGAGAGACATAGAGCGAATATGTCCAAGCAACTGCATATCTTTGAAGAGCGGAATGGGCGGTAATGCTCAGTGTAACCTTAACAACAAGAATTTAGGGTTCCCCTCGCCTCCCCTCCCCTCTACTGGTTCACGAGGAAAGGGAATTTTGAAGCTTGAACGGGATAATGCGAGGCATCCACAAAAAATCGAGCACGTTGCATCTCCATATCACGCGCTGGGCTGTGGTGGGATGTTCAAAGCCAACAGAAGCCTACCTTTGCCCGGGCTGAATGGTGTGGACGTTTACCGCTGTGGTAGGAGTCCAACATCCGATTGTAGCGAAACAGGCGGATTGGGCTCCCATAATTCGAAAACCAATACCGTCTATCCAAGGATATGCACAGCGATTCATGAGAATCTATGGCACCCATATGACATTCTGGATCAAAATAATGGTCTTGTTGCAATACCGTCTCTCTATTGTCGTAGATTATCGAGATCAACCTCAGGGTTGATAGCCCCACGGGGAATACCAAACATACCCTTGCAAATGGAGACCCCCTGTGCTACACTCCGAACAATGACAAGATGGATATCCTCTATATTCAAACCTGGAAATCTGCGGTTTCCAATAACATGAAAATATGCATATGTTGTGCGCTTCGACGCTACCAAGCCTATGGATAGGAGGAAACGCATTTCTTTCTGAAGGCTTATTCCAACTCTTATTGGTGGAGGTGGGGGTTCCGGTATTGGTGATACTGCTACAACGGGGTCACTATGGAACTCTTACGGAGTCGTCGGGCCCCCTGGCTTTAAGGCAACCTCATGTCCCTTCTTATCGACCAAGTGGAGCCCTCAAGACGCATGCTTCTTCGAATTCTGCTTAGCAGGGGGCACTCGAGGTTTGGTCTTTGCTTGCCGGTCCTTATTATTAAGCCTCAAATCCATAATTCGGCATCCCAGATGTGACGGGAACCACTCTCTATGACTTGTCATCTGTGATCACTGTAGCCGCACGAAACCCAATATCAACCATTCCTTGGTACGTCCTATGAGAATGCGAAAGGTATTTGGATGGTGCGGTCTTGCTATGCAATGGTGTCGCAACAGCAGAAAGGTAGGGTTCATTTCTACATTTCCTATTTCCAAACCCCTGAATGTAACTTACTTGCGGGGTCTAGTTTTCCTAGGTCTTTGAACCTTGCGGGAGTAAACTGAAACAGGAGAAGTTACTAGTGGACTGAGATATGAATTTTTTAAAAAAAAGAAAAGACATCCCATGGGCAGTCACTTGGTCACTGGTCACATTGCTTTGACGTGCTGGGTGGACAAATAAATGGCGGTCTTTCGCTCAGGTTGCACCAATTCCTTTGGGACTTTTCTGTTGGGCGTCACGGATTAACCGTTGCCCCTATATAACTAGCTAGTTGAGCCAGCCTCTCATCCAATAAGACATTAACCATCCCACATTTTAACTCTCACCGGGTTCTCAAACAAGATATATTGAATTTTCAACTTCATTAAGATATAACAGCCTCTACCCTGGCTGCCTTGGGTTAGAGAGTAAATGCACATCATGCTAGAACTTGCAACAAACCGGGGCATGATCTGGTTATATCCAGAATCCTTTTGAGTGCCAGCTTTATAGGGATGTGTATATTAGCACTTTCTGTGGGCTTGAGAATCTACAGTGAATGAGTTAAAAAGCTCTGTTGATACATGAATTGATGAATTCTGAAAATATTATCTACTTCTGTGACAAAAGAGTATAAACTAATAATTTACAACTTATGGTAATGACAGTTAGATCAATCATGATTTCAAGAGAGTCATAAGTGAGGGAAAAGAGGTGAACATCAGCTCTGCTTCTGGCAGACAAAACATAAAAGAACAGTTTCTTGAGTTTTCAGTATTACTCTTTTCTCAGCCTATTCCTCATCAACTGACCCTTAAACGCCTCAAATTCAATGACATTTTTGTATGTATTATTCTGCTGTCTCCTGAATACCTTCACTATCAATGATATAGTTGCCTCTGCTCATCATGAAAGTGAAAAAGCAGACAGTTCTGATCACCTTTGCACCCATGAAAATGTGAGTTACTTGACCTACCTTGCCTGCTAGCATGCATCAACCAAAGGTTGTAACAGTTAAAGGTTCTCAGTCAGCATTAAATTTGATGCTTTTCAACTCAGTCTAACTGTGGAGACATTATAGAGACCTAGTTTGAAGGGCTCACAGCTCTTGGAATCAAAACTAATCATTTGTCAAACCACACCCCCTGTACTGGGACTGTGCAGTTTCAGGTTTGCAGAGAACTCCATGGCATTGTCTGTCATGCGTAGAAGCGGGGTTGTGAGCTTTAGTTGACCTTCCATGAGGGAAAAGTGTCTGTGTGTCTGCCAGCACCCTTGCTGGAAAGAGCCCGCCATGTTTATGTTGAAAATGATGCGTCCTCTTCAACTTTAATGATGGACCAGATCATTCAGTGAGGCCCACAACTAAGAATTATTGGAAATATTTAAGGGATAATTAGCGACCAAAGTGAGGTCATCATGGCACCGAAACCGTAGTAGGTATTTGGATTTGGAATTGGAACTCAGTCGATTCCTTGCTGATCGCGTAGTTAGCTGCTAACTCCAGGCATTGTGGAGTTCCGCTGCGGGCCAAATTGCAACGGTCCATAAGCAACAGCCCCTGTTGACTACCTACCTAGGAATCTACCGCGGCAGGCAGACATTCTGGTATGCAGTTTAATCCCGATACAAGTAGTTGAAATCCGGGGAAATAAGGCCCCCCCTGTTCCCAAAGGCGAGCCGAAAGCCTCCCATCAATCTTAAAGAATAATAAAAATAAAAGTGGACACTACCAGGAGCAAGAAAGGGCTGAACGCTTCTCACAGGATATGGTTGATGAGATAACACTTAAAAAAAGGGCAGACAGTTCAAAGCATTTATACTTCAGAGAGCCAATTCAATACGTTGCAAACATATCAAAGTACTAACTGATTAATGTGTATGTATAACTGAATCTATTCCAGAGATTCAAACCTGAAACAGTGTATACCAAATCACGCACGCTAGCAGGATATTATGTCAACTCTAATCCCCAGAAAGGTCATCTTTTAACCTAGTGTTTGACTGGACGAAAAGTAAAACGAGGCATGATGGTTACAGAGGACACTGGCGCACCAGGTGAGGAACAGGAGAAAAATAAATTGGAAATCCAAAGAGACACAAAGCTAGAATATTAATTGCAGGAATTAAAAATTCAGCGTAAAATACCCGCATCGTTGAAAACTTCAAGAATAAGCCTAACAAGACTACAAACAAAATTTGTTCTACAACATTTCTTCTTATCCAGGTTGGCGTGAGAAACGTCTTAAATGGTAAAATGAAAATATATATAAAAAGCCAAGAAGCGCACTCGCATGCTGGGTTTCTCTCTTAAGTTATTCTGTATGATTTCCCAAACTCAAGTTGTACACATTTTTTCTCCTAGATTTACATCCCTAAACCAAAACAAAGATGTTACAGCCACTAGTGCAAAGAACAAAGAGAAGATTACTTATTGCATCTAGGGGACATCCGAAACGAACAAAACATACGACACAGGGGGTACACATTTAAAAATCAAACAAAAATGTATAAGGACAGTACCTTTTTTTTTTTTTTAAAAAAAAAAAAAAAAAAAAAAAAAAAAAAAAAAAAAAAAAAAAACAAAAGAGAGTATCATGATCGTCAAATCGTAGCACGTAAGAGGCTGGTTGGAAAGCTTAGGATATCGAAAATGCTGATGCGGCTCAGCTGCCCCATTTATATCGAGTTAAGACGTTTCCGGCCAAGATATTATCCATGAGAAGACACTGCTTTGAATTTGGAACTGTGAGTCCACGAAAGGAAATCAAACTTCTCTCTGGAAGTTTCACGAGTTAACGACGGACTGGTCTCTGGGGGATTGCCGCGCTGTAGGTGTCGTTCTCTGGGCTCCAAAATTAAGGAACGTCGATAGTAATTATGAAAGCTTTTCTCTCCTGCAGAACGGACACGAATGAGTTGATCCTGTATCCATGTCTGTAGCTCCGAGACTTCAGCAAGCCGGTAAGGTATCTGAAAGCGTTGGAGCTCACTGATGATTTTCGCTGTTTTCATGTGCTTATCGAAATTGATAACCGATTTGCTACCATCTCCAGTTGGTAGGGATCGTGTGTCTTGATTACCATGATCGACGAAAGTGAGGTCGGTTAAATAGGTTCCCACAAATGGTAGACATGGAGGTACATGGCCCTGCAACCGTTGACGAAGTACAGCGTAGTTTTTTGAAACGTCAACGATTTTCCTCAATTGTTCCAGCAAATTTTTCATCCTCTGCGAAACCAGCTCCCAAGTACGTCTCAAACGGGAAATGGTAGAGGAGTTAAGAGAACAAATAATGGCCATCAGAGAATCGTAGTTATTCAATTCCAGGCATTTAGACGCGACCTTGATCCATTGTTTGATAATCACAGCTCTCTTTTTTGGTTCCTCTTGTTGCAAGATACAATCAGCCACAAGATTAGCCAGATCCGTTGATAACGTCGACATGGCTCGGACGTTTACAGCTAGTGAGCCGGTTTTTTTCATCCATTCAGTGGCTAATAGCTCCTCGGGCAGGATAGAGCAAAATATCCTAGACTCTTTGAGCGTGAACTGCCGTGCCAATTCCAGGGAATCGAAGTCCAGTATGCTAACAGATTGACCTCCAGCTTTCCATTGTTTCAATAAGTTTAGCTGGCTTTTGGATATTATTGGGCTTGGGAGGGGAACATCAGGGCTAACGTATTGGGATACAGCAGTATTGGTCTTTCCCATGGAAGACACAAGTCTTGGAACCACCGGTCCATGCATTGTCGATACCTTCTCTGCAAGTTCCACAAGGCGATTTCCAGCAGAGGGCAGGGCAATCATTAGCTTTGTTCGAGCAAACTTCAGTATTGACGGGAGAGCAACGTCATCGCAGTCATGTCGCCAATGAGACTCTAGCCACCCCTTGAAGATGTTATAGACTCGCAGACGGACGGGGCCAGCAGCTTCAGTGTGGTCTCCAATGTAATCATAACGATCCATCAGTGTTACCGCAAAGTCAATAGGTGTTGCAAAGTGCCGGAAGGTGAGATAAAATGTAGAAACGAAAAGGGCATCGGGGGTGGATTGGTGGGCGGTAAGTTTCTCGATGAGAGCCCGAAGGCTTCCTCCAATTACTTGACCATCCTTTAACATAAGCTCCTGAGCATATGTCTTCTCTAACAAATTCTCACCCTCATCAGCTTCCTCAATCAGAGTAGTCTGTGAGCCTTGGAAGCTGCTGTGGGCAACGACATGGGGAAAGGGCTTGTTGAAGTCAGGAGTGGTAGCACGAGTTGATGCCTGTGAAACGGCACTTGTCTCTGAGTTTCGAATACTATTCACGAACGTGGTTTCGCTCGTTGCCCTTGTCAAATCGGTAGTCGATTCTACATGGTATATGTCAGTGGGATGATCGTCTTCCGACGAAGTAGCATGGTACGTTTCATTGGTATCGCACTGTTCAGATGGGGTAGGGTGTTCGACAACGTCATGATATGAAGAAAAGTTTAGGTTTAGATGGATGTCTAGGGTTGAGGTTGGCGTTGAGACCATTGCACTTGTGCACTCGGAGGATGGGGTAGCACCATCAGTTAGATCTGGCGTGAACGGTAACTGCTTATTTGGTATTAAGATGGGTGGTAGGGGTGATCGCACAATCGACGTCTCGTTTCCACTGTCTACCTTTTCGAACTGGTCATCTGGACTTTCTTGCACTTCAGACTCGTCAATATACTGATTATTGTTAGGGGTTTCGTGCTCGTCTGTGTCCAAGCCCGCTATCCCAAGCCCGATACCTTCCAACTCAAAATCACCACTCTGTTCAAATATATATCTGGCTTTGGCAACGCAGTCGCCAGCCCCCCTAACACATCCAGTAGCCGCATCAACTAACCTTTTACCCTCACCTGGCATGAACACCACTTCGTCATCAGTTGCATGTGCCGGCCGAAAGACATCACGGGTGGCATGGACAAGTTCAGTGATCCTATCATATAACATATTTTTAGACTGCTCCAGAAGGTCAGAACGATGAAGATCACGCTCGCATATCGTTCCAACTATCGTAAGCAAAGCTCGACAAGACTGCGCAGCTTTTTGTGTAGTTAGGAGGAGTTCAGTCGACGAACGAGATTGTAGATGCAGTCCAATAAATGAGCCTAGAACACCAAGAAACTCGTCGTAGGCTGATGTAAGGAGTGCGGACGCAAGATTTGGATTATGTGTTGAGGAAGGGCCGTTGTAAGATATGCGGTGCGAAATAGATATCCTCTTAGGTTGAATGGATTGCCGCCTGAGCTGATTATGAGGATTATAGAGTTCTGCTTGCCCAATGGAAGTATGGGCATAACCCGAATAGTCTCCCTGACATGCCTGATTGCGGCTCGAGCCACTTATACTGAAGGATGGAGTAGAGGAAATAGTAGATCCAAAGACCGGTCCAGAGAATGAGGCGTCCACAGGGGGTGTTAGAGGGGTGTCATAGATATCATGTCTGGGGCTCATGGGAGAGACGTCAAGCTCTGCCATCGCTCTACTCAGGCCGACTTCCTCGTTCCAGACGTCTAAAAACCTCACACCTCGAATAACAATCTTAAATGCTTTAAAAAGCATCTGGTCGAAAATGGTGTCCAGCGATCCATCAAGCTCTCCCCCATTGACAACATCCTGCAAGCGCTTTGCTAGCTTCACTAAAGACGAGAGATCTGAAAGAAGCGCTTTTCTGTTTCTCCTTAAGGCATCAAATTTCTGGACCAGGTGGCAATCTCGCGTGAGGCATTCAGATTTTTCCTTGTGGTTCGAGTCAGCGTGCGTTAATGTGAGTTTTGTGACAAAAGATTACGAACCAGCAAAAATCTCACACCAGCAATAAGACCTCTCATGTAATCCTGATTGCTAAACTGATAAAGGGTGGATGCTGATCCTCCACGGATGGTATCCCAAAAGTCAGTTAATGATTTAAGTATCGGTCGCATAGGCAATTGGTCGTATGCTTCACAATAGTTTGTCGGCAGCCAACCCCGAGCACCCGTTTCCAGCAAAGTACCATCAGCCCAGCCATTGGTGTGAATAGAATGAACCAGGATTATATCCCCTTGGTCCAAAGGCAACGTAACAGTAGAAGACGAGACGCCCGCATTAGGTTGAAAGGGGTAAAAGGCCCGCAGGTAATTGTGAAATATGGCTACTTCATGGCTATTCCTTTCAATCATGGCTTCTCGCGAGTTATGTGGCGTCAAAGGGGGGGTCACCTGCATTTGCGATGCTAATGAAGACAACATGTTGTTCGAAATCATCCCATCGGGGAGAGCTGCGGTCTGCATATGTGCATGAGGTTTGCCTTTTAGAACATGCAGTGGAGCAATATGGTCGTTCCGGATATCCATGGATGATACACCAGAAGCCTGAATTACTCCCAATATTGGGACGTCCTCAAAACAAACATTCATATATTGTTTGTGAGCAGGAACAGTCATTCATCGTCAATCCAGCATGGGTATCCAATTAAGTGGCAGGACACTGTGGGAATATGTTCGTAATTGACATATACGTTTAACGACTATGAAGACCCATGTCAGTATCTTCCAAACCAACAGTAGTTTTTAACCAGAGGAACGGTTCCTTGTTGAAAATAGAATTCCTTCATGACGGTTACAAATATAGGTGTGTCTTAAAGGAAAGAAGGCATGAATTGGTAACGAGGTGGGAATTAGAACTTACCAACAGCCAGATAATTATAGCAAAATAGTCTCCATGCACCAGGTGGCGAATGGATGAAATAAAGTCAGTCTTGCGATCCGGATCACTGCTCAAAATTGACAGGCCTCCAGGAGGTGAGGTGTTGTCACAACATTCGACAACAAACAAGACTGTGCTAGTATCAAAGGCAGTCCCGTCAACCAGAGAGCGTTGTGTGTAGGTCAAAAAGGGGTAAGCTCGCAGAGGGTTAGGTCAAAACACAGCGCTCAACACGCCCAATGCACACAACAACTCGCAAAGATGATAGGATATGCAACTACCAGAGAGTGCACCAGGCTGCTTCCTTCAAAGAGGAAGGAATAAGGATTTCTTTTTCTCCCAGGAAAACCAGAACGGACAGTGTAAAATTGATAAGAAATCAGGGTTGGTGGCTATACGCGCGAGAACGAAGAACCCACGGCTCAAACAGAGAGAGTAAACGAAAGCAAGACAAGAGAGGAGTAGAATAGGAAAGGAGAAGAGGAGAAATTGAAACTGAAGCAGAAGCAGAAGTAGAAGCATCCGCTGACATGCTCAAGAGGGTGAGGGATGAGCTTCGTGAAGAAGCCAAGACAAAGGGGAACCAGCCCGAATAGAAAACCAAAACACGGGATATGGAGCTTGATTAGACTTGGACTAAGGCAAAAGCTACATAGTTTAGCCTGCCCTTAGTCGAAGGTCGACCCGTTCCAACGTTCGTGGTAGCGTGTCTGAATGGGTTAGATTTATTAGTTTTTGCATCAGAATTGTTATTCTTCCCACTCGACTCCACCACAGGGGATGATTGACGGGGGCAAGTGGCTTGCTCTCCCGGTACCCGTCCCAATGAATGGATGACTAGCTACACTAACTTAGCGGCAAACTTCTCCCCTAAGTTCCAGAGGCCTTCTCTATCACCCGAGTTGACAAGTCCGGCATGCTCCTCCTCCGCCCACTGATGAGCCATGCTGCCTCGGGGGGATTCCAACTGGCCGCGAGGCCTTCCCTCCATCACGATGGTAACTGACATGAATCACCTTTTCTGTTCAAAAGAGGCTCCAACGTGAGTTTCCGACCAGCTATGTGGAGGAGGAGAATAAAATGGCCATGTCGGTCGCGGTCGAGTGTTCGATGGGTAGGCTGACAGAAAGATGAGGTTAATCGATGGCATCCATGTCTAGTATCATGCTGACCTTCGTCACAAGTTCGCAGCTGCATATACGGAAAATTCGTCATCTGTCTGTGGGTTCCCTCAAGCTAGTATGACGGAGAACTGTGAGTGGTAGGATGCGCTTTTCGACATCCCTGTCTGTATCACTTTCTAAGCCCGCCCGGTACAGTAACTTGAGACCCTAAACTCGAGTGGACGAACCTAAAGTTAGGTTCTTAACTAAAAAAATAAATAGAAAGTGGAGAGACATTTTATTTTATTTTATTTTATTTTATTTATTTTATTCTTGGAACATGCCTGTGTCTCACGGTCTTATCGAGGATTAATTACCCCGTCGAGCCAAATATAAAGTCCTTGTTCCGTTCGGAGCTCCAGGAGGCAGGCAAGAGTTAAGATTGATTGCAAACCGAGTCAAGAATTGGTAACGGTTGGCAACAATAATGCCTGAGCGACTGATATGTTGCTCAGTAAAGAATAACTTAATGAGCATTCTGAGGATATAGAGTGCTCTGCCGTGAATCCAGTTTTGTTTTCTTACCATTGTTATTATGACAGGTTTTATGCAACGCACCACTCTGCGACCCACTCGCTGGCCTCGCTCATCACTGATATTCTGGTCTATAAAGATCTTGAGCTGTACGGAGTATCTGCACTGCACAATGCATTCCTTCTCCTCATGGAATTCAAAACCCGAGCAGTCTCCCCCGCATGTATATTGCATTCCTTCCCACTAACATACGGCTCTGTTGTAGTTATATACTGTGTAGGAGATGTGTGGTGGCCGAAAGAGCCCGACTCGGCGACTGCAGCCCCTACCAAACAAGAAATTCGAAACCTATTTGGAGGCAGGTCTACTCAGGTTTCTTCTTTGTGACAGCATTCCTATTGCATTCCAAAAAAAAAAAAGAGTCCAGAGCTTTCTCAACGTTGATACCTGTTATGCCGGGGGGTTTGAGAATCATTTCGGACCCCAGAAACTCTAATCCTCAAACAGTTCAGGCTTTGCTTTTGGGACGGATTGGCTTTGTTTTGGTTTTCTGAGGGGTCAGAAAAGCCCGAAGGAAAAGGTTCCCATGCATTTCTTTTTCCTTCATTTCCCCGGTAACAATTCGCATTCTTTGATGAATCAAAGAAAATTGAAATAACAAAAAATAGATATCCCACGGCAATTGACATATTATTATTATTATTTAAAGAAAATTAATGATTAAGATGCGGACGTAGGATATCTCCATCTGCTATACAATGTCCTCCACGGTGGCGTTCAAACCACCCGCCCACAACTGTCTGGAGACGATAATCATTGAACATCAAACAAGATCCTATCTCCTGCCAGGTAAGCATGTAGTGATCAAAATTCTTCAAAACAGGATTTGAAGAAAAGTCTGAGGGGTGGACGCATCGCCACGGTGATAAGGTCTCCGACTGATATCAATGAATAAAAACCTCAAACTCTCAAGGTGTCTGAACTATTTTACATTCCGTAAGAGGGTCCTGGAACCTCAAACATATTTGCTTTCGCATCAAAAGGACCTATCTTGTTGTTTTCAGAGTGTTCCAGAGCTCCAACTTGCATACACTCAAACGTGAACAGTCTCGTCTCAGCCAGTTTCACGAATGGCAGGAGTCGGAACCAACCACGACCTCGATCAACTGTCTGTCATCTTCTGTCCACTATTCAGTGAGTTGCAAGTTCGCACAGCTTTTGTGGGGGTACAGTGACGTCTTAAAGGAGACTACGCAGCGTATATCTTCCATCTTATGCTGGTAGACAGGATGCATTCCTAACGTCCAATCAGACCTATCATAAGCTGGTATTATGCAGTCTGCAAGCCTAGTCCCTGAGTACACCCGCGGTTCTTGCGTTCGTCTTCTCTCTGTAAGCGGTTCGCCGAGCATCAATATTTCTTCCCCAAAAATATTTTTACTAAAAAAAGAATTAAAAATAACCTTTATAGTGTGGTTTATGTCATAGTTATTGGCAACAAAAAAGGATCTGTATTACTATCCATGGAGGCTCTCACTAAGTGCTAGTATATCGATGTTCATGGAACCATGATGAGTATAGAGCGCACTGCTGAGTTCTGAGCTGCAAGTCAGATCTAAATGATACTAAGAAGTTAACATCCTGCACATTCTGCATCATAGCCCTCTGGGAAAAACTAGATTCCTGGATCTGAAAATGGTGTTTGCCTTTCTCAGTGGCTGCAGCTATGAACATTCATTATTCATGAGAACATTCTCACATTTTCCCGACTCAGAACAGCTCTCCATCGATAACTGGGGAAGATGTGCATCCGTTTTGATCATACAGATTCCCAAGTCACTGGAAACTCCACCAAGACTAGGCTTAATCATATATTAGTTAGTCAACTAGTTGGCTAGTGTCATGTTTGGTTATCTTACTAATTTAGGGCAATGGAACCAGATGTGTTCATTCATTCAGGAGTTGGCGACTACTGAGCCCCATAGGAACAAACGCTGAAAAACTAAACTTCAACCCGCTCCATAAACTACTGAATCCATCTGATGGTTTGAAACCAGTCTTTTTCTGTTTTCTAATTGCGAACGGTTCCAGACCCAGACCTTCAAAGTCCTGTCTTCATGATGCAGGAAATTCTGAGAAAGAGGCCCAGGTTCCCCCTATCTGAAGTGAGACTATTACTATTAGTTATCCACCGTTAGCGGAGAGTAAGGTATCATCCGCTACGGTCTACTCCTCAGTTCGGATGAACATGGCTTTTAGGAGCATCGTACGGAGTCCTCCGTGCGATGATGTTCTATTTCTAGTTCATTTCTTCTACAACCACTCGAACAAGAGCGGAAATATATCGGCTCCTCAGCCGGAAAGACATTTTCATAGGCCTGCCGATGCTCCCTCACGCAACCAATTTAACCAATCCAAATCCCACTATTGAGGGAGCATTTCAGATAAGTTACGTAGCGGGACAGAATTTCGTCCTCCATCTGTGCATACCGTTGTAATTTTTCAACACGCGCATATTCGGGAATTCATAACGAGGAGCAGAGCAAAGTGTGTCCTTCTCTGTTCCTCAGCACCCACTACGCAACACCCATCATGGACTTTTCTTAACAGGCCATTCCCTGCTCCGATCCCACCTCCCAGACTTTATGGGTTCCAATTAGACTACAGAATATCATCTCAACCAGGAGGCAACATTGGGACAAGGTCTCTCGTCCCCTTTGAATTGCCGCACAGACAATCCGGAGCTGACGGAGGAGAAAAAGAAAGGAAAGGAAAAGGAACTAAAAATGGCTTATTATGAACGACAGCAAGTGGGCAGCTGCGAAGAGTTTCCGGCTCCGCTGATCGTCCTTCAGCATTCAGGGGTGACTTTGAGTGTGGTGTTTAAGTGGAATTTGAAGACTGGTCGATATCAATGGCAACTTGGCTCTTTTGAACCAAGAAACTATTGAAAAATGGCATGGGACAATGTAGAGTTATTGCAATTGATTCCAGAACCGTTCCTGAGTTCGCCAGTGGGACTTTTGTGGTCTTTCACCTTTTTGGACAGTGGAAGAAATTTCGTTTGACAATTTTATTGGAGAATGACCGTTGGCAATGTATGTATTCACAATATTGCAATCTTGACTGAGTGGTATTTATGATCACCATAACCCCCACGAAAACAAGTGGGTCTGATCTCTGATGGATGGGATTCTTCCAGCGCAAGAGTGATTTGCAACCCAGTCAGGGGAACCAACGACTCACAGGGTGACGGGAATTTGGGTCTTGTACAGAAAGGGTCAACTAGATCTCACTTGCCTATCATGCTTCCCTGCAAGCTCATCACGGCAGTGCTGAAAGGCTGGCATTATTGCAAGCGATGATACTGCCTTGCGCAGTTGGAGAATTTATGAGACAGGCGAGATGGCACATGGTTCAATGATGACGCAGGGTGCAAGGACGAGAGTGATCAATTCGAGCAGAAAAGGTGATTTGCATGTATACTTGCTCTGCCTCAGCAGATGTCGTCACCATCTAGAGCCTTGAAGATACATTTCTACAAGGTGTTGCTGTGTTGCTTTAGCTTGCCTAATGATTTCTCTGGATTCTGTTGCCTTTGCACTGCTGCAAACTCAGATATGTAGATGTGAGATGTACATGTCATGACAAAATTTTAGTGAGCAGCAGGTGAGTAGATGACTTGCTAATAAAATTCATGAGATCCTGCAGCCAGGCAAGGCACTTTTAGCTTTTAGTTTGACTGACAACCCCACTTTTCTTTAGAGAGTTAATGAGAACTAATTGTCACGGAAGTCGGATTGTGGGGTGGTGAGTCTAATTGCTGCGGTATCCAACTAGACACACTAGATTAAATCCTTTGAGATGCAACCAGTATCGGGAGAGCAAGACTGTATTCCAAAATGATATGGTTGCTATTGAAAACAATTCAGCATTTAACATGCTGTTCATTCTCAAGATCCACCATCAGTGCTGAAGAGTGATAGTATTGTAGGGTGAAATTCTTTCTATTAATTCTTCAAGTCAACACATCTCCAAAAGATCAAAGAAGCAAAGGTTGATAATAAGATGTCATAAAATTCATAAGAATATGGTTCAACGTGGGGGAAAGACACCAGTAACTATATGTCCCAGAGAATGCAGTAAATATATATTACATTTATGCACAGTACATAATTAAATGTGCTGCGTGTGGATCACGCCGTGCTGGAAGCAAGTTGCAACTGAGAAACATATGGGTTTGTTGGACTTGTTCTGGTGTGCAAATCCCCGTCAAACACGGAAAATTTGCTCCAGGAAACATCTCCTCACAGCTTAATGCCATTGTCCTTATGGGCGGTCTTAATCTATTCTTCTGAACACCATGCAATTGTGAGCATCACGGGCCCCCATAATTTTTGAGTGTCCCTCGGGATTTTGCTGTGATGTGATTCGTCTAGATTTCTGTACATTTTCTTTCCAAACCTATCGTGTGCTCAAAAGGCAAGTTTACTGAGCACTTGGAAGAAAATACTTGTGCAGGGAAGAGATGGTCCAATTGAAATAGGAATCACAAGTTATCCGTTGAATTTCCGGGTACATTTCTGGATACAGAAAAGCAGCCCTGCTCCAACAGCCAGAGGGTTGATCAGGAAGGCCAGATTATCCCTGGCGTTGTTTCAGTCCAGAACGCACTCGAAACATCCAAACAATGAGCCGGCCCGTGCCAAGCTCACCCAAACTCACAAGGGCAGATTAAGCTAGCAAATCAAAAATGCAGCCAAGGCCGACCGACGTCGACAAACTTTTGATCTTGCATAAATTTGGGTGCTGAAAATTAATCGTCTTTTCTAGCGCAAAGATCTCCTCCGACATTCTTGGGTTTGCATTAGCGCTCGTTGGGGTGAATGGCAAATAAGAATGGGCCAGGAAAGCTCAATGTTGCCAGCACGCTCCCGACTTTTTTTGTAGAAGTTTCCCCTATCAACAAAAGTCCACCCGGAGCAGTCAGCAGCATACGCAAGCAAAAGCCCATGGAACGTAATGTGGCTTGCCGGATGAGGATTTAGTACAACACGCCAAAGCCAGAGAGCTGGATTTGGAACCTGGGGGAGATCGAAACCGTTGATTCAATGAGATGTATCCACCCAGATTTACCACTCAGTCGTGGTAAGAAGCCTCGAAAAAACGGTTTCCTGTTATTTCCTGTCAGTGTTTGGATACTGCGAAATCAATAAAATCATGGAGGGACATGGACGAAGCAAACAGATTGCTATTTGATCTGCACTTGGACTCGATTAAACCTTCTGTCTCTGATGCATAACGCTAATGCATGGTGACGGAATTCGACAACATCCATGATCAACCCTGAACTATGGTTTATTATTGTCGTTGTTTATCTGACTTTCTCTTGTGCTCATACTACAAACCCACCCCACTGCTGAATGAATCCTCTTAATCTATCCATGAAAATGCACAATGTCAACTGGGGAAGAATCTTCACAATTGCAGCGCAACGTTCTACCAAACTGCTCACAAAAACCTCGAATGGGCTATCTCTGTTTGCTGCAGGCACATAGCCGGGATTTTGCATATTGGTACTGATGAATTTTCAGGGACGCATTTACGGCTGCAATGTTACAAATATTTACTTGGAAAAAGGGATGCAGGAGCCTGGGCTTTTCTCATCCATTTCCTTTATTGGTTGCACACCGCAGATGAAGAAGCGCAAGATGAGTCCAAGGTTCCAAAGTCTGGTTGGTGGCAGCACCAATAACAATGTTGAAAAACTGATGATCACTTGCTCCTGAATCAAGGATGAACAGTGTTCCAAACATTTCACCTTGAACCAACCAATTTTGTTATATATTATCAAACAAGAATAGTGTTGAATATCATGTCCGAAAAGGGAAATCATTATATTGATATTCTGATCTCTGATCTCTACTAAATCTCTGTGGATTTCACCCGGCTTTCTATAACTGTGGAATATCTGATTTTACCCTATTTTCTTATATGGCTGATGCCGTCAAAATTATCCAGCTGGTGGAGGAGGATACGGAGCGGGATTGGCCAGCGGATATAGTTGACATTATGGAGGAATTGGAAAATGAAAGGCCGATGGGTTTTGAGTTTAAAAACCTTTCATGGTATGATCTGCACGTGTATGCCAGCATTTGGCTGACTAGCGAGCAGCAATGATCTCCCAACGTATGGACCGAAGCCGTCAAAGCAGAGAAGACTCTTTCCGGTCCATGCCTGAGGGTGGGCAGTTGATACAAGTGACCAGCGGATCGGCTTCTCAGCCTATAGCCGACCAATACAATTCCGCAAAAGGGAGTCTGTGGTAATCATCCCCTCCAAATCGGCGATACTGACTCTAACATAGATCAACTGCCAAGTCTACGACAGATGGGATTTATCGCACCATTCTGCAATCCCTGTATGATGCCTATTCCTCTCCCTGGGCTTAGCTGATCAGGGGACAGATCAAACACGAGATGGTAACGGGCATGGCTCAAATATTAATAGGGGGTATGGTAGACCTCTTGCTGGAGGGAACCAATCACACCTCCATGCACATTATTCCTCAACAAGACATAATCAAGAGAGACCAGCTGGAATGAATCCACGACCGCACCATCCACGGAAAATAGGGGTGAGACTGTCTCTGTCTTTAATCATACACTTGGTATTGCTAAGTCTACCGATAAGAGTGTGAAGGATATGTTCACTAATGCACCGGCCCGACAGCATCTTGGAATTACCCGAGATATTTAGAACAGCAGCCCAGAATAGCCGGCTCTGGAAATGGGAAAGAAGTCAAGAACTGGAGACGACAGGATGTTTAGCTAAGGGTGATGCTCAGGACCGTTTCCCTCACGATCTGGTGTGGTCACAACGAGGTATACCGTCTCATCAGTATCTCTGGAATGGAGCTTACTATGTCATCCTAGACCTGGAAATATACGCTAGCAACTCTGACGTATACCTCTCTGTATAGACAATATGTTAGCTAAAACTATTGAAGGGAAGAATAATGCAATAATGAGCCTGCTCACCTCCATGGCCCAAAAAAAAGCCTATAATGGAGGACCTCCCTTGTTGTGGATGAGATCCGAAAATCTCGTGAGCTTTCCAGCTGGATGACTAATTGTATTAGTTAGTTAACTAGGTTAGTTAACTAACTAACCAACTACTAACTAGTTAGTTATCAGAGGTTGATCTCTAAAAAGCCACACCTCAAGCATCAGAACAACAACACTGACTGCCCTTCAAATTTGGAAAAGTCCACAGCCCAAACCCTGTATTTTCTGTGTAGAATATACCCCCTTTTTCAACCTGCAGGTCGGGAAAGACAAGATAGGAAAACTGCAATGAAGAAAGGTTTGAGTGGTAACTAATCGTCACTTAGAGGATGGATTCGCTTACAGCTTGTCGCTCATAATACTCATATATATACTTAGGGAACTATACAATAGGGCGGAATATTGTCATCTGTGGCACGTATACTGGCAGAGGAGATCTAAAGTTTATTTTCCAGAAACTGGGTAATTGTAATCTTGCCATATAAAATAGGAATGTTTTAGCTGCCGTCTCGCTACACAGTCATTCAGTGGATGAAGCATGTAGAGGACATGGAACATACCTGGTGTATTAATCATCGGATCTTCACCAAGTGTTGGCAATGAGGCCAAGAGTTCGGTTTCCAGAAACTGAAGTTGTGTAAAGGAGTTCACTTGTCTTATCATAGATCCGGAGAATATGATAACTCGACATGGTGGTGACTTTTGCTTCGTGAACATTAGTTACACTCAACTCCAACCTTCCCTACAAGGTCTCATTTCAAGTCCAAACATCTCCTCTACTCAGGCAGCCAAACCAAGATCGGGTGCATATCAGTGCGTCGAGCCCCCTTCAGCACACCTCAACGCTGAACAACTGTGCAGCGGCTGAGAACCGTTACTCAGTCTGGTCAGAGTTCTGGTTTAACAGAAAGCCCTGAGCTTCTCTCATTTCCCCTATCGCGACCCAAACCTCGAAACAGTCCTGTCCGCGGAGGGGCAGAAGAGATCCATCTATTATCGGAGGGTATAAAACGGATTAGATAAGCCGATATATTAGGGCAGATAATGTACGAAATAGGAAGACGGTGAATCCAAAATAGGTAACGTGATCAACCACCCAACGCCCGTTTACACCCAACGCCCGCTCAAATCTTCATTTTTCATTCATCTTTAACCACCCACAACATGCACCATGAAGCAGTTATACAAGCCGCGATTGATGATTTGAATGCGCAATTAATGTCTAATTACACTGAGACTGCTAAAAAAATATGGAATCAGCTGATATACATTGTCAAGGCGTTATAGAGGTGTTCAAATGTCAAGAAAGGAAGCAAGCTCTATCCACTGCAAAGCCCTCACTGATTCACAAGAAAAATGGCTCCTTTTTCATATCAATCAATTGGCAGATCGTGGTTTCCTTTGTATGCCCCAAATCCTTCATAATCTTGTTGTTGAGATTCTAAAAGCACCTATTGGAGTCAACTGGGTGGCTCAGTTCTGCAAGCACCACAAGGATGTGATCAAGTCACTCTACCTGTGAAATATCAATCAAAAACACAAGATTGCAGACAATTCTGCATACTTCAAGCATTATTTTGATCTTGTAATAGATTTCTTTCTTATACTATATTTTAAATTCTCATCTTGCTAATTTATCTTAATTTTTCAGCTGCAGGCAAAAATCATGAAATGCAACCTTGAATCTGCAAATATCTACAACTTTGATGAGAAAGAATTTCTATTAGGATTCATTCACACCCTCAAATGTATTGTATTGATTAATTCACTCAAATCAGGCTGTATGATAGGTGCCAGCCAGGATGGCAGTTGAGAATTCATAACACTACTTGCCTCAATTTGTGCAGATGGAACTTCACTCCCACCTGCTCTCATATATCAAGGAGAATCAAGAGATATGCAAGATACTTGACTTGAAGATTTTGATAGTGAAAAGGATCAGACCTACTTCACTGCTTCAGAAAATGAGTGAAGCAATGATGAATATGAGTTAATGTGATTAAAGAAGATCTTTGAACCTCTTACAAAAAAGAAGGCAGGTCACAGATATAGACTTCTTATATTGAATGACCACTCATCCCATGTTAATATGGCATTCATCAATTACACAGATCAGAATCAAATTCTACTCACTGTCTTTTCTCCCCATTCTACACACTGATTACAGTCACTAGATGTTGGGATATTTGGACCATTGAGTAAATCATATTTCAAACAACTGAATGAATGAATGAGAACTGGAATGGGATTCATACACACTACAAAGAGGTCTTTTTGACAGCTTTTTGACACTGTGTGGAAGGAGGCAGTTACATCTTCAAATATTGAAGCTGCATTTGCTGCTACTGGCCTACATCCATTCAATCCAGAACACATTCTTAAAAAGCTTCAAATACAACCTTGCATCCCCCCAGATGCAATATATCAATCAAGAACATCTACTTCTATTGTTGGTCTGTGAAAATTGATGAAGCAAGTCAAGCAACAGCAGCATCAAATATCTAATGATCTCAACCAGATGATCTGTGCAGGGGAAAATCTTGCTCTTGATAAAGAGATTCTTCTAATAGAGAACAGGCAACTACAGCAAGCTCTTAATCAAGAGAGAAGATGTTGCAAGTGTGGCAGGGCAATGAGGTTGCTAGATTCTTCAAATCCATCATTGGCACAGTTCTTTTTCACTGGCAAAGATGCAGAGCATCCGCGAGCAGATGACTGCCGCAGAGGCCACCAAAAAGGATGAACAGGCCTGTAAGGAGGATGCCAAGTTGCAACACACTATTCTTAAGAAGCAGAAGAAGGCAGATATCATGTCACAGCAGATGGAGTGGAAGACAGCTCACCAGGCAGCAAAGAAGCAAAAGAAGATGGATAAGGCCACAAGAGCCGCTCAACAACAGATTGACAAGGAGCTTAGAGATGAGAAAAAGACTCAGGAGCAAAAAGAAAAGAAAGAATGAGCTGCTGTACAGCTACAATCATGATTGAATAAGAAGATGATTGAAGAATTCAAAAATCACCTTTCTAATCAGGAAAGTAGACCCTTGATTTCACAAAGAGTGGCTAAATCACATTTTCAGAACCCTGCCAGAGTGCCTGTGAATCCACTGCCTGAGTGATCTGGCAATATTGCAATCTCTACTGATTTAATGACTGCTTGCTCACTGAATCTGCCTCCATCCAGGATTTCACATTCCAGGCAAGTTATTAAGCCAAACAAACGTCTACAGAATTAGCTATATATTTTTATATGTAATTTTCTATATATATTTTCATCATATAATATATCATCTTGAAATCTAATTGCGTTGTTGAAATAACGTTGAAAATATTTCATCATAGTGATGGCGAAATGGCGGGCGTTGGGTGTAAACGGGCGTTGGGTGGTGGATTACGTTAATCCTCCGTGAGGCAGAATAATCGTAACGAATTTCTTCCTCTATCCGAGAACAGAGGATTTCCACCCCCTTTTTATAGAGGTGGGAGATGACTGATATCCTTATGCTCATGCCGCTCATTTTATATACAAATCTAGCCCAAAAGGGCAAACAAAGACATAGCAATAGGAAAAATATCCCTTAATAGGAGAACTATCGATAACATGCATATTTTTGAGGTGGAAGCAGCTGGTAAGCCGCATGCAAACGCAGCACGTTGGAACCAATGATACGGTCCGCCACAGGCGCTAGATATCTGCCGCGCGCGGTATGTCTCACCCGTCTTACAGAGGGTGTTTTGACTGAGCCCTCTCAGTCCCTCATTTCTCCCTCTCCCTCTCTCTCACAGAGGAAGACTCGGATCAAGAGTTAGGTGAGGTCAAGAACTCAACCTCTGAATTCGCTCTCCTACGTAGTAAGCGCAATAGAAGTCGTTGGTTCCCGCTTCAGCCTTTCTTCTTGGCGTTAACTAACTAGTTACAACGTGAGACCAAGGCGACCCACAACCAACATCAATCGGCACCAATGCCCAATCTCCCTTCGTAACATGACCGGTCCTCCCGCCCCTACAGTCTTCACCTAACAAGATAACAAGAGTATCCCTTTTTTTTTTTTTTTTTTTTGGGGGGGGGGGGGAATTTACAGATTATCGCCGGTGAGAGTGACACCAGTTTGGGAATTGCCAATAATGCCATTGGCTGAGACCAGAGCTCATGGGAATTGTTGAGAACGACAGCGACAGCGACGGAATCAGAACCAGAATCATAACCCACTATAGTTGTGCTGAGGTATTGACATACGACTCTACATTTGTCATCATCATGGAGAAAGAGATTGCAAAATTGAGACAGCAACTTCAAGAAGAGCATCGCCGACGCGAGCTGGCCGAATCGGCTGCAGAATCATCACGGCGGCAAGCTTTACAGGATTATTTGCAAGCTTGCCACTCGCTCAGCCTTGCCATTCAGGTGGTCACTGACCGTTCAATGACCACACAAGGTGATACTACCAAACCAGCCGGCAGGCTCTTCCCGCAGCGAACTATCCCATGGGACAGCTCCGCGACCCAACAGGAAGAAATCTGGAACCAAGTCTCGATTAGTAGTGATTTTCACTCTCGAGGCGTCTTTCCATCTGCACACCAGCTTGAATACGAGCGATCATTGATCGCTCCAATCAGTGGAGAGATTGAACTTCGGAATTACGAACGGGACACGGTGGAGAATACTGTTCAGAAGCTGGTGAATGCAGTATACGACGACGAGCTGCTGCGAAACCAACTTGGACTTCGAGGAACGGTGACATTTGGGAGCCACACGAACCTTGGGCAGACTAACAATAGCTCGATTAACGAATCGATGGAGCAGATGTCGATCAGTGAAGACAATTCAGACGATGCTGATACGGTAGCGCAAAAAAGGCGCAAGGGAAAAATCTCAGCACATGATCGACACCATATGCAGTCACGAAGTCCCAAAGGCCCCCGTAAAGCAAGAGGAAGGGCTATCGAGCAGACCAATTTTGCATATACAGGACTTCTGACGGCCGAAACATTCCTACAGTCGCAATAGAGTACAAAGCGCCACACAAGCTGAGCCGGGATGAGATTGTGACAGGGTTGGACTCCGAGATCCAACCGGAGCGGGACGTGATAAACAAAGAAGGTGATAACTTTGCATTTACATCGAAATCTTTAGTTGCTGCGGTCATTACCCAGCTCTTCTCATACATGATCGGCAAGGGAATCCAATATGGATATGTGTGTACTGGAGAAGTCTTTATCTTCCTCCATATATCGGATGATCCTACTGTCGTCTACTATTCTGTGTCGGTGCCAAATATTGACTTCCAAGAGGATGATGAGAATCGGTTCCATCGCTCGGCTGTTGCACAAGTCTTCGCCTTCATCATCCGCGCCCTTCTCAAGGAACCACCGCCCCAGTCATGGCATGAGAAGACCTTGACCTTGGACATATGGGAGGTGGAATATATTAACGTTTTGAAGAATATCCCCAGACAGTTCGCAAACATCACTCTCCTTCCCCTTATAAACCTCAACATTGGCGGGGCTTTAAACGCTCGCCGATTCGAACGCGCTCTCGCTGTCAGCCATTAGTCACCAGTATTGTGCAGGACGGCGACGACGAAAGAGGACGGCACTCCTCCCTCTCCAACCCTAAGCCGAGCTCTCTGCTCTCATAAGTGCTCAGCAGCATCCGCAGGCAACACAGAGGGAAATTCAAAAAGCAAGCGCGGACAATGCAAGGAAGGCGGTCAGAAGACACAGCGCCCGCTGCAGAGTATAGATGACCGGTCGTTTTGCACTCAACAATGCCTCTTAGGATTGGCGTATGGTGGTGCAATGGATTCTGAATGTCCCAATTCCGATGATCATGGAATGGAGCATATCAGCCGAACAGACTTCCTCCATCTTGTTCGTTCACAGCTGGCCCAGGACCGTGGACCAGAGGCGGATTGCAGGCCGCTTTACTTATCTGGTTCACGTGGGGCATTATTTAAAGTACGATTATCCTCGCATGGTTATACGCTAGTTGCCAAGGATGTAGAGAGATGTGACCGTAGTCTTCTGCAACGCGAAAACAAATTGTACAATCGACTTCGCACCATCCAGGGAGGCCACATCCCAGTATGCCTCGGCCTCACAGATCTGGATATACCATACTACTACGACTCTGGCATATATGTTTCCATTCTATTGCTAGGCTGGGCTGGACAGCCGTTGTTGGAGTGCATCGACCAGGATAACAAGGAGCGCCTCCAAAACAAAGTGGCTATAGCCTTCACTGCGTTACACCGTTTGCATGTCCTACATCATGACGCAGAGCTGCGTAACATTGTATACGAACTGAAAGATCGTCTTATGATAGTTGATTTCGAACGAGCAGAGTTCCGAGGTCGTTAGCCTCTACAATCGGTCGATTTAAATCCGTCAAGCAGAAAGAGAAACCGTATGGGGACCAAGATAGAGGGACATGGGATAAATAATGTTGAAAGAGAGCTGCAATCGGTCATCAAATGCGTCTCAAGATATGTTGGATAATTAGTCTATAGCACTAAGCATCAGATTAGAAAGAGAGGTATGTCTGAGCAGGATACAACACAATTTTAAAATTGTGGAGCTGGCGTGCTGTCAGTTCATGGTTTTTCCGCTCATATCTCCGCCTTTCCTCTTTAATACGTTGAATAAATGTGTCAACCTGTAATGGTTCCACTGCCATCGTTCTTGTTAACCAACAGTGGGCGTTGCAAAATGAGCAAAAATGGGAGGGCGTGGGCAAATATATAACACAATGTGACCTATCTTTTTGATACGAGAAACCAATCAGGCTAGTGTCCATTTGCTCATCTTTGCTCATCTCTGCCCATTTTTGTCCAACATTCCCAGGATAATTAAACTGCATATTTAGCGCCGATCAAAATATAATCCTGCTACGGCACGTTAAGAAGAGAGACGTTTACGCAATGTGAGTCCACACGAACCACCCTCTGCGGCGACTACCAGCTGGCTGGCGACCAGTCTTGCCGCCGCAGTGAGAAGTTCTTTGCAATTCCAGGACTGCATCTGTTGAATCTAGCAGTGTTATAGTTCCTCTCTATAGCATGTCAAGATGTCAAGATATAAAATGCATCCTCGTTGCTCCTTGCCGACTTTTGACCGATCGTGTCAATCCTTAGCTCTGTTTTACTGTGTTTTATTTGCGATTCCTGCAAGACAGCCTTATATTAGCTTAGCAAACTTTTCTTAGGAGGTGAGAACGCCCTCCCTATCGTTGGTCCTGACAGTCATTTATTCTATCGATCTTCATTTTATTGAACTAGTACTTGTTGAAACAGCTTTTCTTATCTGGACATATCCAAATCCAGGAAAGGGAAGAAGTTCAACTGTCAAAAAGTTAGTCAGTGCTTTCTGGGCTGTCCCGGTCACTAATGCACATAAGTGAGATACACCATGGGATCATATTTCTTTCATGGTAAGGCAAGATGAGGCAGCAATTTTACTTCTATGTCAAGCTTTCTCACAGTCTTGTGCGGCTCCCTCACAGTCAAGGAATAAAACTATTGTAATTATTATAATCTGATTCATGACAGGTCAACCATTATAGTGGAAACTTGCTACAAACTAAAGTACATACAATTCATTAGTCACCAATGCAGATGCCCCTGCAGCATGAATATGCTAGGGCGAAAAGTGTACAATTGTCAAGTTATGGTCATCTAGAAAGCAACGCTTAAAAAAAAGAAAAAAGAAAAAAAAAGACCAACAAAATAGATCAATCAAGTCGAACACACAGGACAGAAAATGAAATTCAGATAAATTAATATTCAATCCAAGAGACACACGAGTCCTAAGTCTTCAATTAGGCAATGGAGCTGGGATTGAAGGGGAGCTTTGCTTGCTCCACACCGCTCCCGCCGGTCCGAAGTACGAGAGTGACTGGAGGTTATATTAGGGGTCTAACATTCAACCATATAGGTGATGCTCACATCGAGAAACTGAAGGCTCGAGCAACTCATTTCTTCACTGGGAAATGCACGCTCTTTCCCACGCCCTGCGAGTTAAGACAGACTCCATTGAAGTGATCTCTTGGGTCATCGCTCGGGTGTTCACCCGCTCAGTTTTGGAAAGTGAATGAGTTGAGGCTCACAACCTAGCACAGATCTCATTTGTATCGTCAGGCAAAGGGCCTGCGTATTCCATGACACGGAGAAAGTGAAGGCAAATTCAAAGGAAGGTTGACCGTGGATCTACAAGTGATTGCTGATGGCAAGAGGGCACTCGAATATCATCGCAAAATGGGCACAGCCAGCCTTATATATAACTCTTATATATAATTTCTGGCTTCGCCTCCTTTTCCTAAAGCTTGCTGTGGAGAAACGCCGCAGAGGTACAAAGGCGCCAAGTAGTTTCACCTCCAGAGCACTTGGTAGGCTTGGGAGGTGGTGAGATACTTGCTCATGGAGACATTTTTTTTGTCTCATCCGAGTGTACCCTGTTCCAATTTGGAAGACCGACCAGGGAATGCCAATCATGTAGTTAATGCAAAAAAAAAAAAAAGAGTGCAGCTGGTGCGTCTAACTGCCTCGCCTGGAAAATGGAAACAACCACTTCATATACACATATTTAACTAAACATCAATGTTAGCTGGGCGCTAGGGAAAGATCCCGGTGCAATAGGACCGTCTTCCTCCATACGCAACCGTGTGTGCCCCAAGAAATGGATCTCGGTACCTCCTCGTCAGCAAGGTTAGTTGCCGTCAACCTAAATACCTACCAAAATAACCGAACAAGGCACTGTCGATATTTTGTCCGATGAATTGTAGCTTTGGGAATCTGCACTTTTATTAAGTTTCCCAGAGCAGTAACAACATCTTACTATAGTGATATCTGCTTATTGTTGCCGGAGGATCTCTATTTCCCTTATATCTTGGTGTCTGCTAACCATGTCTGCCCTCTTTCAACTCGGTCAGATCCTTAGGGGCCAGATCGGTTCGTATACCATTATCAAACGGCTTCAAGAATCTGTTTGGCTCGCGACGTATGAGGCTCCTCCAGGGTTCTCCCGATAATAGTTACACTAATTCTGTCAGCATAGATCTCAAAGCAAGCAAACGGTGATAGTTAAAAGCGTTTGTCACTTTCGCCTTCAGAATGAACGCGATGTGCTCAAAAGTTTCCAATCTCGCTCTCCCTTTGTACGCCCGTTGATAGATGAGATTGCGGACCCCTCAGACCCACCGGCTATTGTTCTAAAATACGCAGCCGACCATCTTCTGAATGCTTCAGTCTCAAGAAAACTCACGAGCCCAGAGATCAAGTATGTTGCCAGAAGAATCCTAGAGGCGTTCAGAATGTTACATGAAGATGGCTTTGTGCATACAGGTAGGTGGTATATATGCTGAATCAGCAGGAACCGTGCTTCCGTAGTCTGCTAATTGCACATCAGAGAAGCGGATATCTCCAGGCCCATAGTTGACAAGAACATTGTCTGGTTTTACATCTGGGATAAGTTTTAAAGCCAATAGCGCATTTTTCACACGGAGGATATGCTAAGGACGGTGATCTCATAGGTGCACCTATCTGGCGAAGCCCTGAACCACAGCTGCAAATCGGCTGGGGAACACCTACAGACATATGGTCTTTTGGTAGCTTGGTATGTACAATCCCTACTTTTATTTCTGAAGGCACAAGCGGTGTCTGCTATTTACCCGACGCTGATGGGATTTATTCATACCCCAGATCATCACTCTGGTCTACGGCGACAATTTCTTCCTGTTCGAACCAGATGTTCCTGCCGGCCATGAAGACTACGAACTGAGAATTCTAACAAGACAATGCCAATTCTTTGGCCCGTTCCCTGTGACATATCAAGGCATTTCGAGCCTTGAAACCCTAGCGATCCTGACATACATAATGCGGAGTTTACCGCCTGAAAAGTATAAACCCTTCAAGCGAATTACAGAAAAGGAAGTTTCGAAGGTAGACAGAGATTTTATTCTCAAAATCATGAAACTTGATCCAAGGGACAGGCCTTCAGCTAGAGAGCTCCTGGAAGATGAATGGTTCAATATTGAAACTTGAATAGAAACATTTCCCCTGCTTGAATTTTAATATCACATTTGAAAAAGATCTTGGGTTTCGACCATGGATGCCATATTCAGGCTGGTGCAGGTAAAATAATAGCTAGAGCTGAGCAATATTGTGGACATTGTCTCTTCTACATCGCCAGAGCACTCCATTCTGAACTTTTGATTTGAAAACCGTGTCTTCCAAGTTTTCTCTCGCCGCCCGCGGCTTCGATCATCCAGAGCCTATGAGGAGCCTGTCGAGATATTACTATCTACAGTGGAATTTGCATGTTAATCCGAGCAATCGCTTTATCGACATAACCATAGAAGGCTGGACAAAATGAATGCATCGACACTCTAGTCCAAACCAGCACGGCTCGCGGTCAACTGTTGGTCGGGATATGGTGCTCGGAGTTTGTAGCCGATAGTGGGTCCTTCGATGGTCTTTTGCGCTTATTCCATGGCTGAGGAAGACCTCTATGTTGAAAGAAAATTGTTGAGAGGGAAGCAGGGTGAGCGATATGTTGTCAGCTCAATGGGAAATTGAAGGAACTGAGTCAAAAGATGCTAGCATATATAAAAAAAATTTAGTATATGAATGAAAGTAAGATGTTTGGGAGATTTTATAATAAAGTCACTCCTATAAGCATGGGTTGTCTCCAATATCGATTCATCCTTACATCTCAAACACATACAGATTGTTTTTCAAACCCTAATCACATAAACACACTAAACCATATATGGATAGTTGTAAAAGAAACCGTTTTGTATGAAACGAGTAAACCTCTATTAATGCCCAGTGTTGTATAGTACAGGCATTTCTAGAAGGTTTCAGTGCAAACTCATCAAAGAGAGTAACAAGCCTGTTAATTTTGCAAGTTGCCGTCTGTATCCTGCAGTTGGTCGCTGTTGAGAGTCAAGGTAAACCCAGATCAACCAAGCTCTACGGTACCAGTCCTGGTCACGCAGAGCCCACCCCTTACGATATCAACCCGGATCCCAAGGACACCCCATGCTCCTTGTTTCAACGGAACTGAGACGCTGCTACGCTTGATATCTAGGTATCCTGCCGTTGAATATAGGGTTCCAACTTAATAGTACATTCTGTCATTGGACAATCAAAACAAAGGAATTATTCAAGCTATATGCGGAAGTAATACATCCACTGTGGCTGATGAAAGACAATATCGGATAGATATGCAAAAGAGAGAAAACATTCAACAACTAGAAAAACCTCTTGCAAAAATATAAGAGTTTACAAGGTCGAAGGCACAAGTATCAACAAGATACTCCCTCTGAGTGCTTCAAAATGCTTTGGTTCTCGAGGCGGTCCACAGCTGGAGTGTTGACGTTTAGCACGGCAAACGCGGGCTCCTGATGCAGCTACCGCAAGAGCAGAAATTCGCCAAAGCACGATCTCAGCGCCCCGAGGTAAATGGAGAAATCCAGGCAAGCAGATGAAAAGCACCATAGGCGAGTGTCCCAGCGAAACTGAACGGAAAAAATACGGCCAGACTGTCCTTGTTACGGGTGAAAAAAGGAACTACTAGTCTGATCTCCCAATGCGGAAAACAAACAGTGTTAGTACTGGAAATAGTAACCATAGACAAAGACGAGAAACTAGAAGTATCATTCAATCTCACAGATAATCACTTTATGTTGTCAAAGAGTTTATTTTATTTTTTATATATTTTTAATTATTATTATATATTTTGAATACTAAAATTTAATTTTTTACAAAATATTAAATAAATTATTATTAAATCAATTATAAAAATTAAATATATTATTATGATTAAAGTTTTAAATAAATAAATTAAAAAAATAAAATTATATAATATTTAAATATTTTATAATTATATTTTATATATAATAATTTTAATTGTATTTAATATTATAATTTTATTACTATTAATTTAATTATAATTATTATAAATTTAATTAAAATAATTAATTAATTATTTTATTTTTATTTTAATATCTTTATTTTCTCTATTATTTATAACTTTAATTATTATTTCAATCATTAATTCATTAAGGTAAAGACTTAAAAAATTTAATTATAAATTAAAAATATTTTTAAATATATAGTTATAAGGGGCTGAACCCCTAGATTCGCTCTGGCTGGCTGACTCAGCCTAGCCATTGTTTGCATGTGCGCATGTGATCATGCTATGTGAGCTTGCTTAAGCTTGTGTTCTCATCTCATTCTTTTCTTCCCTTTCTCAAGCAATTCATCCTTGTTATATAGGAGGACTAGTCTCTAGTTCTTAGAGCTTAATCCTCTACATTACAAATTGCTTCACTTCTTTCATTGATAGGTCACTGGGAGCCTTAATTCTGTATCACAAAGCTCAGCAAACATGCTGACTTGCATCATGAAGTTCAGTGATAATACTGATATATAAATAGACTAAGTTAGCAATTGTGCTAACAAATGAATGAGCAACATTGAAAATGTCTAGCTGAATGAGATAAAAGTGACAGACTTGTATGACAAATACACAAATGAATCAACACAAAGCAATAAGCAGGGATGCTGTCAGCAGCTTTGAACAACAATGAATAATCTTTCTTCAACAGCAGGAACAGGTCTAGTGTGAGAACAGAGATTTAATAGCAGCTCAGCAAGCTGAAATAGCTAATTTATGACAAGCTTTGAACATTTCAACATTAATTCTCTCTCAATTGAACTCACAATCACTTATTGCAGTCAGAAGATTAAAGATCAAACTATCAGACTGCAAGAAGTATGATGATTCTAATCTGAAGCACTATTCTTAGTGATAGCTAAAGCTTCAATCAAAACTTAAGATCAATGGGAAAGCTTTAAGTAATAATGAGGAATGTACTTAGTATGTGTACTTGAGATTGAAAGAAATAGCAGCAGCTTAAGTTTATCTCTGAGTTGAGAATAATAAGAACAAGATCAACTTCATAGTAGAGAGCTTACTGAAGCAGACACATATGTTATTTAGTGATTCTGCACAATAGAAAAAGACTATACAAAAGCTTAACAATCTACAACAGGATAAAAGAGCTCTCTTTGACTTTCTGTATGAATTTAATCAGCTATTGCTGGAAGCTGATGATCATGAATGAGATGATCACATTAAAAAGAGATATTTGAAATCCACCCTAAGCATAGAGCTGAGGAAAGGCATGATGAGTGTAAGAGAATCATCTCTCTATGAGAATTACTGCAAGAAGCTTAGATTAGTTGATCATCAACTCTCTAAGCTTAAAACTTTAAGACAGTGATTTAAATATTGTGAAAGCAGATCTTCTTCAGATCATACAACATCTAATTCACACTCTTCACTTCATCATACTGTTTTTGATTAATGAAATCAGTCTCAAGCTTCTGCTGATAATCTGATGAATCTTTCTCCTGGTGCTGTGACCCCAAGTATCTACCACATCAAATTGATAAATCAGACAGAGATTAATTAATGAAGAGAGCAAGGCCTGTGCTTGAGATGTGAAGCTGAAGATTATATGATTAAGAGCTGCCTGTTCAAACCTCTCAAATGCTCTGCTACCCCTATGATAAGTAAAGTGATTCTCAAGCTGGTACTGAACAATGACAATGTGGATATGAGCAAGGATTCAGAAAAAGAGTAGCTTCAATCAAAAGACACTGAAAAAAGTAAAATAATAAGCTTATGAAGAAGTAATAGAGAAGATTTAAATCTAAAATGATATTCAAACCCTTCACTGTTGATGCTTTAGTAGATAATGCCTTTTCAACTAAAGCAATAATAGACAGTGAATGTAATATCTATGATCTTATTTCTCAATTCTATATTAATAAGCATAAGCTTCTGTGCATTGAAATTCTCCCTGTTAAAATGATCAGCTTTGAAGACTCTATGAGACTCTCTATGAGCATGGTGACTGGCATTCAAATTGATATAGATAGTCATGTAACTGAATGAGCATTTCTCTACATGGTGAATAGATTATATGATCATGATATATATTTAAGCAACTCCTGGCTGGCCCAGCAAAAGATGATCATAATTTCTTATCAAAGAATTGTGAGATTTGAAGAGAGTGGTATAGAGGTAGAACCTAGTTCAAATGCAAAAGCTGATGTGATTCTCATCTCTGTCATAAGCTTCTCTATGTTTGTGAGCACTTGAGAGAAGTGAAATATTGAGATCTTCACTGTCAGTTTGACCAACATTCAAATAACTTTAGAAGTGAAATCAAAGATTGACTTTAGAGAAAAGCTGCCTGAACATTATCATGAGTTTTTGAATATATTTGATAAGAAAGTTGCTGACACTCTACCCTCACTTCATGACTCAGATAGAGATCATGAGATTGAACTGATTAAAAAGACTGATGATAGTGCAGAACAATCTCTTTGAGACTCACTATATAATATGTCTCAAGAAGAACTACTGACTTTGTGAAAAACTCTTACAGATTATTTAGATAAGAGTTTTATTAGAGTGAGCAACTCTCTTGCAGCCACTCTCATACTATTTATGAAGAAGTCTGATAGTAGGCTAAGATTCTGTGTGGACTATCAAGCTCTTAATAAAATCATTTAAAAGGATTGATATTCTCTACCATTAATCAGTAAGACTCTACAGTGAATTAAATGAGCTAAATGATTCACTAAGCTGGACATTATTGCAGCTTTTCACAAGATTCAAATCACAGAAGGTGATGAGTGGATGATGATCTTTAGAATCAGATATGAGCTATTTGAGTGACTGGTTACACCCTTTGATTTGGCCAATAGTCTGAGCACATTTTAAAAATATATCAACTGGGCATTATGTAGATATCTGGATGACTTCTGCTCAGTCTATTTAGATGACATCTTGATAATTTCCTCAAGAAGCTTATAAGAGCATCATGAGCATATACAAAAGATGTTTATGCATCTACAGAAAGCAGGCCTGCAGGCAGACATCAGAAAAAGTGAGTTTGAGATAAACAGTACAAAATATCTTGAATTCATCATTAAAGCAGACAAGGGTATACAAATGAATTCAGAGAAGATTAAAGCTGTTTTGAAATGAGCAACACCTACTACTTTTAAGAGTATACAAGGATTTTTAAGCTTTGTCAATTTCTATAGACAATTTATCAGAGATTTCTCAAAGATTGTGACCTTACTGATGATTTTTACATGTAAGAATGTTTCTTTTTTATGAATGAGCAAGGCTGAGAAAGCTTTTAAGTGTATAAAATCAATATTTATCTCTACTCCAATTCTGCTTCAATTTGACCCTGACTGTGAGACTATATTGGAAACAGACTTCTCAGGTTATATCTCAGGAGAAGTGCTGCTACAATATGATGAGCAGAGCATTCTATACTTATGTGCCTTCTTTTCTTGCAAGTATTCACCTGTAGAATACAACTATGAGATTCATGATAAGAAGTTATTAGCAATAATTGAGTGTTTAAAGAAATGAAATACTGAGCTACAAAGTGTAAAAGAATTTAAGATTCTCATAAATCATAAGAATCTAGAATACTTTATGACTACACATAGACTAAATGAAAGACAGCTACATTAAATGAATATTCTCTATTGATTCAACTTCAGAATTGATTATTGGTCAGAGAAGTTGAATGCTGAATCAGATGCTCTATCATGAAGAGAGCAGGACATGTCACAGAGTGCTGATAATGAGAAAATCAAGCAGAGATAAACTCAACTACTTAAGTTTAATATACTAGTACCTGGAATGAAATCAAGAGTGACTGCTACCAGTGTGGAACCTGAGATGTCTCTACAAGCTCAGTGAAATGAGACTCATAAAAATGACAAGATTCTGCAGTGTCTGAAGTAGACTCTTCATGAAAGAAGATTCAGATTTTCTTCTGAACTCAGCATTAAGATCTCCATCTCTGAGTGCTCTTTAAATGAGAATATAGAGCTTTTCTTTTGAGGTTGTAAATAAGTGCTAGACTCTGAACTTCTTTGAATCAGATTAGTGCACAAAGCTCATGACTCACCTCTTACTGATCATCCCAGGTAAGAGCAAACAGCAGAAGTTCTAATATATGAGTTCTACTGATCAGACTATGCTATTGATGTAAGAAGAATGATCAGAAACTATCATCTTTGCAGATCAAACATCACATGAAGAGATTGACATCAGAGACTACTTAAGCCTCTTCTCATTTCTGAATGTATGTAGCAGGAGCTTTTTATGAACTTTATTATGAACTTATCAAACTCTAAAGAATATATAAACATCATGATTATAACAGACATACTGATCAAGGAAATTATATTAAAAGCAGTTAAAAAAACTGATGTGAAGATAGTGACTAGAGTATTTCTTCACAACATCATCTCTCAACATGACATCTCTAATGCAGTAGTGTCAGATCAAGAATCAGCTTTCATAAGCATATTTTGAACTTGAGTGTATGAGAAATTAAACATTAAGAGATGACTTTTCACAGTCTATCACTCAGAAACTGACAGAGCTACAGAGTGAATGAATCAGACTCTAAAAATCTATCTATGCAAGTACATTAGCTTTCAACAGGATGACTGATGTGAATGACTCTCTCTGACAGAGCTGATCATCAATAATAGAGATGCTGTTTCAATAGATATGAGCTTATTCTTTTTATTACATCTTTTTCATGTCTTCTTCATTGATATAGCTGATGCACCTCCTGTCAAAACATCACATAATCTCATTGAGTTTGCAGATAATTATATGAAAAAGGCCTGCAAAGTGCTGAAGTGAGCTCAAGTAAAAATGACAGATGCTCAGCAATCTCAAGAGAACTATATGAATAGATGAAGAAACTCAGCTTCAAGCTTTCAACCTGAAGATAAGATCTGATTGAGCTTAGAGAACATGAGAACTAATCATCTGTGCAAGAAGCTCAATGTAAAATACAATCAATATACTGTACTAGAAAAGATAAAATCTCATGCTTACTGACTGAATGTCTCACTCAGCATTCACAATGTCTTTAATGTAAAGCTTCTACATGCTGCAGTGACAGATCCCCTGCTTAGTTAAAGGCAAACTGACTAGCAGTCACTCACTATAGAGATTTTAGAAAAATCTGAGTTTGAGATTGAGGAAATTTGATATGAATGAATCTATCAGAGAAAAAAGCAATACTTTATTAAATGAATAGATTGAGCTGAGCCTACATGAAATGAAGACTTTATACACTTGAAAGGCCTCTCAGCAAGCAAAATTAGGTAAAAAGAGAATTTTAAATAGTTATAAAGGCCTACAACAAAGAGGGAGAAGAGAGATATTATAAAAGACTGAATTTATAGATTCACTCTGACTGGCTAACTTAGCCTAGTCATCATTTACACATATACACTAGTCATCATTTGCATGTGTGCATATGATCATGCTATGTGAGCTTGCTTAAGCTCATGTTCTCATCTCATTCTTTTCTTCCCTTTCCCAAGCAATTCATTCTTGTTATATAGGAGGACTAGCCTCTAGTTCTTAGAGCTTAATCCTATACAATAGTTAATTATTTTAGAAAATACTTATTTTATATATAAATATATTCAAACTTAATCTTAAACAGCTATTTAATTATAAATTATCAATAATTTAACTTAAAATTACAGCTATTTATAAAGTTCTATTTATTATTATTTAATTAGTTAGCTAGTTAATATTATAAAAAATAATTATCTTATCTATTGACTGTCATAGCTTCAATCTAGACATAGATGAACAGGTGTTTGATTGCTAATTAAATAAACTATCTGAGTAAATACTAAGATGATTTCTAAGAGATGAATTTGAGAAAGGCTCTGTTTATATAGCTTTTTTCATTAGCACTGTTTTCCACATTTATATGTTATTTGTATGCAGGGTAATTGTGAGGTTGACTGCTATGCTGTTGTCTAGACAGTTGCAATTCTCAATTATTTCAGTTTGTATGATAATCAATCACCTTAGTCTGTTTTATATCATCACAGTAACTATCAATATAAATAATTTTAATATAACTCATAAATCTGAAAAACTTGAGATTCAAATTGAAATATAATTAATATATATGATAAAATACAATAATTGCGGATTGTCAATCATATTTAAAAAAGTATAAAAAAGTAAATCAATATATAAATTTATAACAAAATATATAATAAAAAAATAAAATATATACAAGGCAAAAAAACAAATATATAATTAAAATAACATGTTAAAAATAGAAATAAATGTATGCTGCAACAGAACTAAAATAATAATACAGCTGAAAATTTTGATAAGATATCATATGAGATGTAAAACATATGCTCAAAAAACATTTCTCAATTATATTGAAAGAGAAGAATTTGATTAGGGTGTGAAAATTTTGGTGATGTGTCACATGATATGTAAAACATTACGCAAAATTGGTTTTCAATTATAGAGAAGATGAATATTTTGATGGGGTGTCACATGATGATTAGATATTGAGAGATTGGGGATATAAACGATTTGGACTTAGCTGGCAAGGCGCAGTGGCAGCGCTTAGAGGCGCCGCAGGTAGGGGGGTAGTCAGTTGATACTGCGGCTACCCGACGATGTATTATATAGTTTAGATTTCGGCTATTAGCTAGTATTTAGTTCTCGCACACAAACAACTTTGTAGGAGATTGACCACGTGATTATTTTTGATGACTCATCTGGACTGAACCCGCTCAAATTATCTGTTGCGTCTCCATTTGGGATTGAGGGAGAGGGGCGGCAAAATAATAGCAGTCAGGGCCTTGAACAGTCGTCTCCATTGAACTGATTGGCATGGTAGTGAGGGCCAATCGATATACCAATCGACAATCATGGCTTTCACAATCAAGGTCCCCTGCTCATCGGCGAACATAGGTCCAGGATTTGATGTGATCGGTAAGTTCAGCTCCTGCGCCATACAATCGAGAAGAGGCATGCATGTCCGGTTTGTTTGTATTGGCGGCACTGCTGTCTGCTTGCTCCCCTTCAACCGGTTTCTCAGCGACTGGAGCTAACGGAGGCATTCACACAGGCCTGGCGCTTTCCATCTATCTCGAGCTGCACGTTACGACGACAAATACCACAGCTAAGATCCCGCTCAATTGCGCCATCACATATGAAGGCGAAAGTGAAGGGGAGGTTGACTTGGACCCAGAAGTCAATCTTATAACGCGCGTTGCTCTTTATGTTCTTCGGTGCCATAATCAACGCGCTTTTCCCGTTGAAACTCATGTTCACATCAAAAATCCGATCCCACTAGGACGAGGGTTAGGTTCCAGCGGGGCAGCGGTTACTGCAGGAGTTATGCTAGGTAATGAAATAGGGAGATTAAATTTAAGCAAAGCTCGAATGCTAGATTATTGCTTAATGATAGGTATATAGACTGGAGCATCAGCAACATCCAAAGATGCACATGTCCCTCGCTAAGCGTGTAAATACAGAACGTCATCCTGATAATGTTACGGCAGCGCTTTATGGGGGTTTCGTGGGAACCTATCTGAACGTGCTCAAACCTGAGGATTTAGCTTGGAAAGAAATCCCGTTGAGTGAAGTTCTACCAGCACCAGCTGGAGGAATTGACACAGGCGCGAAACCGCCGGAACCACCCATCGGTATTGGACATTACAAGAAATTCCCTTGGTCCCCACGGATCAAGGCCGTAGTGATTATACCTAATTTCGAGCTTTCCACGGCGAAAGCCCGTGAGGTTCTTCCAGAGATGTACTCAAGAGCGGATGTCGTATGTAGCTATCAAACTGTGTCCCATTGACGCTTTTCACTTTATGTTGCAACGCAGCTAACCTCTTAACTGTCCTGCTCAAAATCAATTAGGTATTTAACCTCCAACGAGCCACTCTTCTCCCTTCGGTCCTCAGTCAATCTCCATTAGATCCAGACATGATCTACCTTGCAATGCAGGACAAAGTTCACCAACACTACCGAAAACATCTAGTACCGGGACTCACTGAAATCCTCAACTCAATGAATCCTTCCACCCAACCCGGACTGTTAGGGATATGTCTCTCTGGGGCAGGCCCCACGATATTGGCCCTTGCTACTACCAATTTCAATCAGATCGCGGAGCGCATTATGTCGAAATTTAAACAACATGGTATCACGTGTCGATGGGAGGTGTTAGAGCCAGCCGAAGATGGGGCGATTGTTGAAAGAAAGAAAGAATGTATAGAGTGTGAGACTAACGAGCGGAACCCGACCGTATAAAAATATATCGTATCCCCTAAGCTTTAAATGAATCAGAAAGACGTTGCGGGATGGAGATTCCTCATATACGGGAAAGCTGGTTGTCACGCATGTTTATGGTCCTGAAATGGACTGTCCTAATACCCATCCAACATCAAGCCAGGTTTAGTCAAGTTAGACAAACAAGGATATCAGGACAAGGTTTACCTAACGTTCTGATACTGAAAGTTTTTTGACGATTTGACGCACTTTTATGTATGACTTAACGGTTTTGGTTCTCTTTCTTCCATTTTCCATTTATAGAAAGGGGAACGGTAAAGGAACATTAAAGGATAAATAAAGATTTGAGGGTATAAATTTTAATCTCAATCTATGATCGTGTCGTCTTTCTGTCATAGAAAATGTGGGCGGGGCTGCGATGTCAATTTGGCAACCCTACGAACTAATCGCGATGGTATGGAGTACGTCGACCCATAATTGTATGTGAATGAGGTTTTGTCGCCTTCCTACACCGTAATTTGTCACGCGTGCCTTGATTTTATATCACATATGACAGAGTAGGGAAATCGACTCTCAAGATGAATCAACTTGTGGAAAAAAGAGTCTCTCCCAATCAGAAGAGCAACACCCTAAGTTAGACAGGCCGCAAAACAGCACTGATATCCAGAAGAACCAAGAGAAAAGAACACTCTCTTCAATGAGCTCTTCAAAACAAAGGGATGGATACGGATAAGAGACCAAATCTAAAACATGCCCTCCATGTCCAAATCCAGAAATTCAGGATTATCAACCCCCATATCCGCTCCGTTCAACACATCATCGATACTAGTATCCATGCCACCATCCATGCCCATATCGATCCCAATTCCCATTCCCTGTCCATTTCCGGTACCAAGTTCCCCCGCTCTAGAAGCTACCGCCACTGTAGCGTCAAGAATTTGACTAAGGCTCCCCGCATCCTCGCCACGCTGATCCGGTTGGCCCGTCTGCTTTCCACCCTGGTCGGTGTCATGAGCCTGGCCCTGGCCGCCTATTCCCATCTGCTCCTCGTCTAAATTGATATCTTGCATGATGTTGCTAACATCGATGTTTGAAACTTCCTGCGTTATCTGGGGGATAGCAGTAAGGGAATCAACTCGCCGGTTTAGCCGTACAATTAGCTCTGCGCGGAGGGTATCGGTGTCAATCATTTTAGAAATAGAATCGCGCTCAAAGGCAAGTGCATCGCGGAGAGTTAGGATTGGACGGCGGGATATGGCGTCTTTAGAAGAATTTAGTGGATGAAATTCAGCCTGTTCCGCAGCAAAGGATTCTGACAGTGGAGCGCAGATAAGAGTGGCGGCTATATCAAGGGCTAAATCTCCGCTTCCTGTTTCAGCCTGAAGTCTGAGTTCATCAACTATGCCCCGCAAAACACGGACGGCGCCTACAAGCTTTATTCCGGCCACAAGCTGTCGGTGGGTGTAGCTGGGAGGAGTCATACTTATATCTGGGTCCGTGCTCCAGAGTACGAGGGACGAGAATGCGTTGCGTATGCTGGCGACAATTCCCCCACCTGCTGGGTTCGCGGCCCACCCTTCTACTTCGCCACAACGAGCTGTGCCGCGTTGCTGGAAGGAGTGGTATGGCTCCAAAGCTTCAAGGATAGTCTTTAAGTCGTTTCTGGATGGGTGTCGCGTGCGAACGCCCTTCAGTTGGTCTTCCAACGACTTAGCAGTTATTAATAGAACTGTGCGATGGATTTCCTGTCCTTCTCCTGATATAGAACTGGGCTTAACAAGTGCAAGTAGAATTTTTAACGACGCGGATATATCACTTTCCGATTCCAAAATATGATGCCCAAGCCAGGTCAATGCCATAACTAGAGAGGGCAAGAGAAAGGGTTCCAAGAGATCTACAGAGGTTAGCTACTGTTTTTCCACGTTTATTTGTAATGGACATACGTACATTCGAATCCGCCTTTCAACGTCTCGAACTCCAACTTCCCAGCCTCACAGGCAGCCAAACTCTGACTGAAAAGCGTCGCAACGAGGGTATAAAACTCTTGTGGGCTACATGATGACATTGATTCGTCACTTATACCTTCCGCAATAAATAGAGCGGTAATCCATGCACCAAGGTTATTCTTTTGCTTTTCATCCAAGTCTTCGAGTCTCTGGCTGGACGAACCATGCTGCAAAAGTCGCAAAACAAACGAGTCGGGGTTAGAAATTCCTAAATCTTGATGAGATAATCCGTATTTGTGCTTGAAGGCAAGAACCAGCAATAATATGCCGCCGAATTCATCATAGACAGGTTGGTTTTCGCCTGTGATGCCATCAGTACAAGTGATATTCTAAGATATTGTGATTCTGTATACCTTGTTCTTCATCCCATTTCCAGGCATCGAGTAATGAACACAGAGGCTGTAGAATAGTCGATGAACTGATAAAAAGTAACATGACGTCCAACGACTGAGGCCTTCGTGAGAGAGCATTGCAGATATTTTTCAGGGTCATTGTGTCTTTCCTCGAGCATAAACTATGCATTACCTAGCAAGGAAAATATTGTTAGAGTTGGAAAGTTTATAGCAGTAAGAACGTTCATACTTCTGTTATAGCTGCAGCTATGGCACCAGCATTACCTTCCATGGACTCGAGTTCATTTATCAGTTGTTCCGCGCGTTCAGGATTGTTGTTGATCTGGGAGACTAGATATTCTCTCCGAAGCTGTCCTCCAACAGGTAAGGTTTGCATGGGGTTTTCTCCTAATAGCCGCTCGATGCTTGCCTCGGGTATCAATTTGTGCAAAGCGCAGGCGAATAAAAATTCTTGCCGGACGTCCGAAAGAATAGAATTGCCTTGCATAGTAAACATTTCTGAAAACGACGGGAATGCATTTGGGTCAATGCGGCTGAGTGCACGAGTGATACAAAGTTCCATTGGGATGGGATCAATAGAGGAAGCACACATTTCCGCAAAAAATGGAGGGAGTTTGTTAACTAGAAAGGAGCGGAAGATAAACATGGTTCGATTTGGCTCATTGCGATACATCCCATTTGACAAAACATCAAAGGTTGCGGTGATGAGGTCTTCAATGAGTGTCATGCGATCGTGCTAGAGAATATCGTCAGATTCCAAGAGTAATTTGCACTGATTTTCAAAAACTTACTCCATATCGATTATTTAAGTAGTTGATAAACATACTATCGTCAATAAGAGGCCTCCCAAAGAGCTTTAGGCTGGTTAACACAAGCATAGAAAAAACCCGGAAGGCACAAAACATACCAGGGCATTAATGTAAATATAGGGACCTGCTCTCGAGTTCATTATAGACCCATCGAGCACGTTGGACTCGAATTCTAGAGCTGAAATATTAACATTCTCCATCATAGTGTCCTCAAGAGACTTCTGGCCATCGTGGACATAGAGATTGAAATCTTTTCGCAAAACCTCGAGCCTGTCCCTTAATGGAATGGATACACCGCTGCAGAGCGGAATATATGCAGAGAGAGCCCGAGATAGTTTATTTCTCCACCCTTATGGTTAAAAGCAAATCAGCACTTAAAATACATCACACACAGTTAGTGGGTGTTGGGAGGATAAAAGTACCTTTAGACTCTGAGGACGAAAAGGCATTTACTGACTTCTCCGTACCCACAAGAGCGGCAAGTAGAATTCCAAGCGATTCGAACACTGCTAGAGTGTCGGGAGAATTTGCCAACAAGTCAGCAGGTTCACGTCCCGCTTCATTACTCGACATCCATGAAAGCAATGTGATAATCCAGTGTGCAAGCGCGGCAAATATATTTGCTGCGTCGGTTGTTGTGTTGGGTGCGTGTCCTGATGTTGCCGCAATCGTAGCATTGTGGATAATGCAGTAGTCACTCATCAGCGTGCTGACTGATGTTTTTGGCCTCGATATGCTCTGCACAGACTCTTGCTTCTGAGAGACCGTTGAATGTGAGAGAAGGGATTTCAATATTTCTTCGATTTTAACCCTCTCGATTCTGTGCAGAGAGTCCACATAGAGTGGTATTAAGGGGTCCCAGGGTACATTCGTAACCGATCTTGACTCCAGAATAGCATCTACGAGCTTTTTCCCTGGCATGGGATAGCGATTTAACATAAGCTTCGCAAAACCCCTAAATTCAGAAGCATCGGTCCTTTGAGAAAGACATTGATGAAGAAACTTCTTCCACTGCAACCAAGGGTTCCTGACGGTCTTCATCGCGTCCATCGTGGCTGGAAAAGCTTCATTCAATGATGTGCAACCAATTCACTTCATTCACAAACAGGAAAATGACCATTGGTCAGCAAGACGCTGGGCCATTCATTACATTTGGGGATAAACCCATGTGCACAAATTCCCAGGCAATTATTTCATCGAAGGGGTCATAAATATAGTTCTAAGACGTGGAAAGCTGAAGATAAGACAGGGAGGCGGGATTGTGTTTACGTAATCTTGCTTTTGTTCCAGGCAAACCTTGGAATATTTGACCAGCTAGAGCTATTATTTTATATTTTTTATTAAAAAAATTAATTAATTAATTAAAAGTTTATAAATAAGATATTTTTATTTTTTTTAATATTTATATTAATTAATTTTTTTATTATAAATAAATTTATTATTTACTTTATTTAATTAATATTAAATTTTTTATTTATTTTATTTTATAATTATATTTATTATATATTAATAATAATTTTTAATTTAATTTTAAATTTAATTTTATTCAAAATAATTTTTAATTTATATATATTAATGAAATTATAAATATTTTATTATTTTAAATTAATTTTTTAATTATTTAAACTTTGATATTTATATTAAAAAATAAATTTAAACTAAAACTTTTTAATAAATTAATTAATTTTAATTTTATATTTTTTTTAAATAAGTAATAAAAAATATTTAATTAAATATATAATATAAGCAAATTTATTAATATAAAATATATAATAGAAACTTTTAATTTATATTTTTTTAATATTAATAGTATTATTTTATTTTAAAATAATTAATTTAAATTTAAATTTATATTATTTTAACTACTTCAATATAATATACTTTATTTAAAATATACTACTTAACTACTATTATATTTTTAAAATTTTAAAAATAAATTAAAAATTTTTAATATTAAATTATATATAATTTAAAAAATATTTATACTTATTTATAAAACTGTTTTTAAAAATTTTATTATTTAAAAAATATAATTTTTTTTAAATAATCAAGTAATAGTTAAAAAATACTTAAAATTTTAATTTAATTTAAAAAAATAGTAAATATATTAATTTAAAAGATAAATATATTTAAATTTATTTATTTTAAATATTAGTTTATATATATATATTAAAAATGAAAGAAGTAGATATAGTAATAAAAAATAATATTAAAATTTAAGAAATAATATAGAGAATTTTCCAATATTATATTTAAAAAAAAATAAGATGAGAATTTCCAATTGTATCAGCGCCGCCAGTTCGGGTGTGGTGCATCGACCCGCTGCCATCGCCCCGCAAATCGCGACTATTTTAGACGCTTGCCTTCTTTCCTCTCTCATGCACGCACTTCTTCATTCATTTCCTTTCAGTTCAGTTATCCTTTCCTCCCGCTCTCTCTCCTGCTCTTCTGATCTCTGTCGACGATTGCCAGGTCCTGGCAGGTGTATTACCCCTCCTGACAGATGTTGGCTGGCTCAATGCCACTGATGTTGCTGCTGGATGCAGTTACTGCTGAATCTATCATGACTCATTGCCTGCTTCTACAGTTAACTCTGATTGATCAGCTTCTCTGATTTACTGTTTTTCCTGTTTACTCTCTTTATTGGCTGCTCTGATTGTCACTCTTCATGCTCTTAAAATTCAACTCTTTTATTTTGACTGTGAGGCTTTTGATTATTTTTTCTTCTTTTTTTCTGTTCCCTTTTCAACCCGACATTGAGGCAAGGAGCTTGCTGTGTTTTGAGTCAATGTCAAAAAGATCTCAACTCTCTCTCTAAAGCTGTATATGTTGATCTACATTTGAAATTGTGACATGTCACATATGTTATTTTATAATCTGATTCTGCAGCAGATTTTCATAGCATTTTATTTTTTTGAGAAAAAACAATGATATGATCTTCAAACCTGGCCCTGACATTACTGATGACTAGTTCTTTAAATGTTTCATATAGATAAGTTGAAATCAAAATTAATAACAGTTATTAATTCTTTTTTTTTATATTTTTTAGATCTTTTGCATATATGTATCTCTCACTTATGCAGAAATGACATATTCAATTTTCTCTAGTTCAACTAATTAGAAATAAAATATAAGAAAATAAGATGATAGTGAGTTATATAAGCTGAAAAATCACAGTTGATATAATTTATAATATCATTCTCTGCTGATTATTGCATCTTGTTTTAAAATTCATATGTGATTTGATTCTGTTTTCATATTTATTATATAATAAATTATTGCATCTAATTTGAACAGTATTTTTAAATACTAATTTAATAAATTTAAAATTATTATAGTTTTTTTCTCAGAATATATTCTGATATTTTATGAGATCAATTTATGATATGAGATTAAAAACTTCTGAGATAAGCTTAGTGCTAATTTTCAAATATAATTGAGAAGAAAACTTTTTATATTAAAAAAGATGAAAAGATATAATAACTATATCTAGTTTATTTAGATTAGAAAATAATATTAGCTTTTTGAATATAGTAAAACTCTAATAATCTAATTGAGTTTTTAAGTTAATATATGCTATACTTCTAAATTCTTTACAAATATAATCTTTTTTCTTCTATGAAATTTATTTATAAATTAAAATAAAATAGTTTATAAATGCAAATAAATATTATTTAAATAATATAATTTTTATTAATTATATATTTTTTTATTTATTTTAATTACTTTCACTCTATATACTATATATTTATAATACACTTTTTCAAAGTTATTAGTTTTTTTCAATCTCTTTTTTTTTTATATATATTAAATTTATTAACTTTTTTTTATACTTTATTATATTATATCAAATATAGTCTATATATTTTTTTTATTAAAGTTATATTTTTTATTTAATTATTTCTTTTACAGTATCTTTCTTCTGCATTTTACTTTGAAATAGCTGCATATAAGGGGCTGAACCTCTAGATTCACTCTGGCTGGCTGACTCAGCCTAGCCATCATTTGCATGTGTGCATGTGATCATGCTATGTGAGCTTGCTTAGGCTTGTATTCTCATCTCATTCTTTTCTTCCCTTTCTCAAGCAATTCATCCTTGTTATATAGGAGGACTAGTCTTTAGTTCTTAGAGCTTAATCCTCTACATTACAAATTGCTTCACTCCTTTCATTGATAGGCCACTAAGAGTCTTAATTCTGTATCATGAAGCTCAGCAAACATGCTGACCTGCATCATGAAGTTCAATGATAATACTGATATATGAATAGACTGAGTTAGCAATTGTGCTAATAAATAAACAAGCAACATTGAAAACATCTAGCTGAATGAGATAAAGTAGCAGATTTGTACAACATATACATAAATGAATCAATATAAAGCAATGAGCAGGGATGCTCTCAGCAGCTTTAAACAACAATAAATAGTCTTTCTTCAACAGCAGAAACAGATTCAGTATGAGAACAGAAATTTAATAGCAGCTCAGCAAGCTGAAATAGCTAATCTATGACAAGCTTTGAACATTTCAACATTAATTCTCTCTCAATTGAACTCACAATCACTTATTGCAGTCAGAAGATCAAAGATCAAGCTATCAGACTGCAAGAAGTATGATGATTCTAATCTGAAGCACTATTCTCAGTGATAGCTAAAGCTTCAATCAAAACTTAAGATCAATGGGAAAGCTTTAGGTAATAATGAGGAATGTACTTAGTATGTGTACTTGAGATTGAAAGAAATAGCAGTAGCTCAAGTTTATCTCTGAGTTGAGAATAATAAGAACAAGATTAACTTTATAGTAGAGAGCTTACTGAAGCAGACACATATGCTATTTAATGATTCTGCATGACAGGAAAAGGTTATACAAAAGCTCAACAATCTACAACAGAATAGAAGAGCTTTTTTTGACTTTCTGTTTGAATTTAATCAGCTACTGCTTGGAAGCTGATGGTCATGAATGAGATGATCATGTTAAAAAGAAGTATTTAAAATTTGCTCTAAGCATGAAGCTGAGGGAAGGCATGATGAATGTAAGAGAATCATCTTCCTACAAGAATTACTGTAAGGAGCTTAGATTAGTTGATCATCAACTCTCTGAGCTTAAAACTTTAAGGCAGTAGTCTAATCATCATGAGAGCAGATCTTCTTCAGATCATACAATATCTAATTCACACTTTCTACTTCATCATGCTATTCTTGATCAATGAAACTGATCTCAAGCTTTCACTGATGATCTGATGAATCTCTCTACTGATGCTGTGACCTCAAGTGCTCATCATGTCAAATTGATAAATCAGACAGAAATTAATCAATGAAGAGAGCAAGGCCTGTACCTGAGATGCAGAGCTAAAGATCATATGATTAAGAGCTACTTATTCAAACCTTCTAGACACTCTGCCACTCTCATGATAGCTAAGGTGATCTTCAAGCTGGTACTGAATGACAATAATGTGGATATGAGTGAGGATTCAGAAAAAGAGTAGCTTCAATCAAAAGACATTGAAAGAAGTGAAATAAGAAGCTTGTAAAGAAGTAATAAAGAAGATTTAAATCTAAAATGATATTCAAATCCTTCACTGTTGATGCTATAGTAGATAATGCCTTTTCAACTAGAGCAATAATAGACAATAAATGTAATATCTATGATCTTATTTCTCAATTCTATATTAACAAGCATAAGCTTCTGTGTATTGAAATTTCCTCTGTTAAAATGACTGGCTTTGAAGACTTCATGAGACTCTCCACAAGTATAGTGACTGACATTTGAATTGATATAGATGATCATGTAACTGAACAGGCCTTTTTTTATATAGTGAATAAGTTACATGATCATGATATATATCTAGATGACCCTTGGCTGGCCCAGCAAAAGGTGACTGTGATCTCTCATCAAAGAATTATGAGATTTGAAGAGAGTGGCATAGAGGTAAAGTCTAGTTCAAATGCAAAAGCTGACATGATTTCCATCTCTGTCATAAGCTTCTCTAGGCTTGTGAGTACTTGAGAGAAGTAAAACATTGAGATCTTTGCTGTCAGTTTGACTGATATTCAAA